TTCTCCCAAGGAGCAGGCATCATTTAATTTCGTGACTGCTGTCACCATCTGCAGTGATCATGGATCCCAAGAAAGTAAAATCTCTCACTGCCTCCATTTCTTCCCCTTCTATTTGCCAGGAGGTGATGGGCCCAGTGGCCATGATCTTCGTTTTTTTGATGTTGAGCTTCAGACCATATTTTGCACTTTCCTCTTTCACCCTCATTAAAAGGTTCTTTAATTCCTCTTCACTTTCTGCCATCAAGGATTTATCATCTGCATATCTGAGGTTGTTGATATTTCTTTTTTTTTATGATATTTATTCCAAATTTAAAGTTACAAAAAAGAAAAAGAAAAACCATACAAAATACAAAGAAAACTTTAGCCATAACAGAGCAAAAGATAAACAAGTAAAAAGAACAATAAGATAGAATAAAAAAGAAAACTTAACGAAAAATATAAAAATACATTAAGTTAAAATAAAACAAAAGCAGATTAAACCTTTACATTTTTGTATTCTAGTTCAGATCGTATTTCCAGCAAATCCTTCTAACTTTATTTTCATTTACGTATTTTAAAATTCAAATAATGTAATTAAACCTCCTCTATTTCATCAATTTCATCAACTCATTTTTGCTTATTCCATTATATCATATCTACCAGAACGACCTAATATTCTTTTTCCAACCTCCTTCTAACATTCTTTTATATTGCAATACTTTTGAAGATATATTTTGAATTTTTCCAATCTTCTTCCATCGACCCTTCTCCCTGGTCTCGAATTCTGCCGGTCATCTCAGCCAGTTCCATGTAGTCCATCACTTTCATCTGCCATTCTTCTCGGGTGGGCAATTCTTGTGTCTTCCAGTACTTCCCGATGAGTATTCTTGCTGCTGTTGTAGCATACATAAAGAAAGTTCTATCCTCCCTTCGCACCAACTAGCCGACCATGCCCAGAAGAAAGGCCTCTGGTTTCTTCAGAAAGGTATATTTAAATACCTTTTTCAGTTCATTATATATCATTTCCCAGAAAGCCTTAATCCTTGGGCATGTCCACCAAAGGTGAAAAAATGTACCCTCCGTCTCTTTACATTTCCAACATTTACTATCTGGCAAATGATAGATTTTTGCTAGCTTGACTGGGGTTAAGTACCACCTGTAAATCATTTTCATTATATTTTCTCTTAAGGTTGTTGATATTTCTTCCGGCGATCTTAATTCCGGCTTGGGATTCATCCAGCCCAGCCTTTTGCATGATGAATTCTGCATATAAGTTAAATAAGCAGGGAGACTATATACAGCCTTGCCGTACTCCATTCCCAATTTTGCCATGAAGCAGAAGTAGATGTCTTTCTGGAACTCTCTAGCTTTCTCCATAATCCAGCGCATGTTTGCAATTTGGTCTCTGGTTCCTCTGCCCCAGCTTGCACTTCTGGGAGTTCTCGGTCCACATACTGCTTAAGCCTGCCTTGTAGAATTTTAAGCATAACCTTGCTAGCGTGTGAAATGAGTGCAATTGTGCGGTAGTTAGAGCATTCTTTGACACTGCCCTTCTTGGGGATTGGGATGTAGACTGATCTTCTCCAATCCTCTGGCCACTGCTGAGTTTTCCAAACTTGCTGGCATATTGAGTGTAGCACCTTAACAGCATCATCTTTTAAAATTTTAAATAGTTCAGCTGGAATATCATCACTTCCACTGGCCTTGTTATTAGCAGTGCTTTCTAAGGCCCATTTGACTTCACTCTCCAGGATGTTTGGCTCAAGGTCAGCAACCACACTACCTGGGATGTGCGAGACATCCATATCTTTCTGGTATAATTCCTCTGTGTACTCTTGCCACCTCTTCTTGATGTCTTCTGCATTTGTTAGGTCCTTTCCACTTTTGTCTTTTATTATGGTAATCTTTGTACGAAATATTCCTTTCATATCTCCAATTTTCTTGAACAGATCTCTGGTTTTCCCCATTCTATTGTTTTCCTCTATTTCTTTGCATTGCTCATTTAAGAAGGCTTTTTTGTCTCTCCTTGCTATTTTTTGGAAATCTGCATTCAATTTCCTGTATCTTTCACTATCTCCCTCGCATTTTGCTTGCCTTCTCTCCCCCACTATTTGTAAGGCCTTGTTGGACAGCCACTTTGCTTTCTTGCATTTCCTTTTCATTGGGATGGTTTTAGTTGCTGCCTCCTGTATAATGTTACGGGCCTCCATCCATAGTTTTTCAGGCACTCTGTCCACCAAATCTAAATCCTTAAACCTGTTCCTCACTTCCACTCTGTATTCATAAGGGATTTGACTTAGATTGTATCTTACCGGCCCAGTGGTTTTTCCTACTTTCTTCAGTTTAAGCTTGAATTTTGCTATAAGAAGCTGATGATCTGAGCCACAGTCAGCTCCAGGTCTTGTTTTTGCTGACTGTATAGAGCTTCTCCATCTTTGGCTGCAGAGAATATAATCAATCTGATTTCGATGCTGCCCATCTGGTGATGTCCATGTGTAGAGTCGTCTCTTGTGTTGTTGGAAAAGCGTGTTTGTGATGACCAGCTTGTTCTCTTGGCAGAACTCTATTAGCCTTTGCCCTGCTTCGTTTTGAACTCCAAGGCCAAACTTGCCAGTTGTTCCTTTTATCTCTTGACTCCCTACTTTAGCATTCCAATCCCCTATAATAAGAAGACCATCCTTCTTTGGTGTCATTTCTATAAGGTGTTGTAAGTCTTCATAGAATTGGTCAATTTCAGTTTCTTCAGCACCAGTGGTTGGTGCATAAACTTGGATTACTGTGATGTTAAAAGGTCTGCCTTGGATTCATATCGAGATCATTCTATCATTTTTGAGATTGCATCCCAGTACAGCTTTCGCCATTCTTTTGTTGACTATGAGGGCCACTCCATTTCTTTTACGGGATTCTTGCCCCCAGTAGTAGATATGATGGTCATCCGAACTGAATTCGCCCATTCTCGTCCATTTTAGTTCACTGATGCCCATGATGTCAATATTTATTCTTGCCATCTCATTTTTGACCACATCCAACTTACCCAGGTTCATGGTTCTTACATTCCAGGTTCCTATGCAATATTTTTCTTTACAGCATTGGACTTTCCTTTCGCTTCCAGGCATATCCGCAACTGAGCGTCCTTTCGGCTTTAGCCCAGCCGCTTCATCAGCTCTGAATCTACTTGTACTTGTCCTCCGCTCTTCCTCAGTAGCATGTTGGACGCCTTCTGACCTGAGGGGCTCATCTTCCAGCGTCATAACTTTCATATGCCTGTTGTCTTTGTCCATGGAGTTTTCTTGGCAGGAATACTGGAGTGGCTTGCCAGTTCCTGCTCCAGGTGGATCACGTTTGGTCAAAACTCTCCACTATGACCTGTCCATCTTGGGTGGCCCTGCACGGCATAGCTCATAGCTTCTCTGAGTTATTCAAGCCCCTTCGCCACGGCAAGGCAGTGATCCATGAAGGGGGGCCACACAGCATATGATCCCACAATTAATGGCTGAGTCACTATCGATCCAAAGTACCTGCAAGCAGCCGAGTCTACAAACGATGAATTCAAAAGTTGCAAATTAATGCCTCATAATGAGCCGCAAAGTCGTGAATTAACTAATTGAATTTGTGAATTATTAATCAAGCTGGCAACTTGAAGATGTGGACGTGTAAATCTGAAAGAACGCCCAGGACTGGTTTAAAGAAGTTAAAATGTCTTGCTGCATGCAGCAATGAGTCCAGGACACAGTTGGGCAAGAGATGAAAGGGGGAAGGAAAATAGAACCCCATAGGTAATATCATAAGAAGAGCCAAAGGCCCACCTAGTCTTGTTCTCACAGTGGCCAGCAGATGCCTCCATGGGAAGCCTGTGAGGAACAGAGTGAAGCCACACTCTCCCTAATCATGATTCACAACAGAGGCGCTGAAACGTACAGAATGAACAAGAGCCATGAGAAGGTATATAAACAGGCCAGAATCAAATCAGAACGAATGTGTGGTGTTGCCAAACCAACCTGCAGACAAAGTGGAATGAATGCTCAAGTAAGATCAGGCAAAGGGTCCATTCAGTTTGGGGCATAATGCCTTCATTTCCTTGAATATAATGCTAGCGTTTCTGTCCTGTTTTTTCATGTCCCCTTCACACTGCAGTACTGGTTGTGTCATGGAACTGTGGCTTTTTAACTAATATCCCAGTATGTCATGCTAAATCCCCCCCCCCCGTGGGCATTTTGGTGTGACACCACAGTGGATGTCCTTGGGCAATCTCAGTGCTCCCCCCCCCTTTCCATGCTTCTGTTGCCCCATGAAAACCACTGGAAAGAACCATATGCCAGTGGATAACACCAAATTTTGTCACACCCAAAAACACACCAAATTTTCCAGGTTAAGGGAGCTGCAAGCGGTTTTGTTTTTGAATCAAATATCATAGAAATGAGCACCAAGCATGTGCTGTATTCCGTTAGTTCTCCAGAAGTGGCTTTTGTGCCATATGAAAGGTCAGATATAACAGGGAAACATCAGGGAAATGAAATAACTGTTGTGTGAGTTGGTCGTGGTCTAAGCTTCCCCAAAGCTTTGTGCAAGCAAGTCAGGACAAACGCTCAGTGAACAGGTCAGCTGGAGGAGCCCGGAAAGCAGTGGTGGCGAACCTATGGCACGCGTGCCAGAGCCCTCCCTGTGGGCACGTGTGCCATCACCCCAGCACAGAGCCAGCAGAAGGCGAGGGCAGCACATCAAGTCATCAGCTCAACTTGTGTCCGAGGACAAGCGCATAAGATGGGGCACTGGGGGGGGGTGCAAAATGGAGCCACAAACTCCAGGGTGCACGTTTTCCCTTGGGGAGCCTCCACTGTGGGTGGGGAGGTTGCAGCGCTGTGCACGCTCAGAAGCGCGCTGCCACGTTGGTGGGCCGCCGAGAGTTCCGAGCGGCCGCCTTCCTCCTCCTCCTCCTCCTCCTCCTCCTGCTGCTGCTGCTGCTGCTGCGAGGTTGAGGCCAGGGGCACTGGGAGCGGAATCAGAAGTGGAGTGGAGGCTTTGCGCTCCCCAGTTGAGCTGCCCGATCCCACTCCTACTTGCGTGCAAGCAGGAGCGGGAGCGGGCAGCTCAGCTGGGGAGCGGAAAGCCTCCACTCCACTTCTGAGAGATCCCTGCCTCCACTCCTGCTTGCACGCAAGTAGGAGAGGGATCAGGTAGCTCAGCTGAGGAGCGCCTGGCTGCCTTCAGGTGGCGCAGGGGCCCTCAGATGCAGCTTCCCCAACCTCAGCAACTATTCAGCCTGGCTGCCTTCATGGGGTTGCAGGGGGGTCTGATGCGGAAGTGGGGGCTGCTTTAAACTTCTCCCTTGAGGGGAGTGCAGCCGCGAACCCCTCAATGGAAAGTGTGAGGGAGCCTGCACCTCCCCAGCTGAGCAGCCCCGATCCAGCTCCTGTCCCCTTGCGAGCAGCAAAGCTGCCTAGCAGAGCAGCCCGATCCTACACCTACTTGCCTGCAAGCAGGAGCAGGCGGGGGGTGTGGAGGCGACATCCCTTGCCTGCCTGCCTGCCTGCCTGCTGCCCCAGCCCAGCCTTTCCTCACGCAGCGCCTCCAGAGATGGCGGAGGGGGTGGTTGCTGTTGTGGCTGCGGTGGCAGAGGGACCCAGCGCGGGAGGGGGGCAGGGGCCTGCTCGCTTGCCGCCCAGCCGGCCTTCCCTCACTCTGAAAACAGAAGTGTGGCAATCAAAACGGAAGTTCTACTCAGAACCGAGCACGTTCCGCTTCCGAAAAAAGTTCAAAAACCAGAACACTCATTTTCGAGTTTGAAATGTTCAGGTTTAAAGTAGTTTGATAACTAAGCTGTTCGAAAACCGAGGTACCACTGTATTTGCTCCACTCTCTCTCCACATGGATGCGCCAACCTCCCCTTCTAAACTAAAACCTCAGCATTCAGGTTCAATTGCCGTGTTGGCACTTGGCGATAAATAAGCGGGTCTTGGGTTGCCGTTTGGGCGCTCGCTCTCGAAAAGGGTCGCCATCCCTGCCATAACGGAAGGAAAGTAGGAGAGGAGCAGGGGGCAGCAAAGGCGTGCTGTGTCCCGCGAGGTCTTAGCGAGCCTTTCCTCTCATCGCTTCTGTGATGCAACTGGCCTGGAGCTCCCCAGCTTCCTCGCCCCTCGCCCGCCACAGGGACCTCCTCCTGGCACTGCCTTCCACTGCCTCTTGCATTTCATCCAGATATTTCCAGTAAATAAACATTGACGCTTTCGATATCATGTTAATTTCACAGGCTGCTGCTCCGCTGACAGTTTTCACACTCCGCCGCCGTGTCTTGTCAGTTTTATGCTCTCAGGCCAACGCCAGCTCACCAACTACGATGTATAGACATAAAAATAAATGACTCAGAAACCCCCATAAAGTGACAGATAACATAATGGGACCTGGCTGCTGGAAATAAGCGTGTTTATGGAGATTTGGGGCTCCGGAAAGGTGAGTTATGTAGAATAGGATGTTGTTTTGATTGGGGGGGTGCCTGTTTTGTAGGGAGGTTTGGTGGACTGCGAGAAAGAAATGGTTTTGATAATTCAATACTGGAGTGAGCTCTTCATCTCAGAGGAGGAGACTGTGGCTTGTATTGGACACATCAAGGATGGGGGGGCATATTCCCATTTGCACAAGCATTTGGGGGCCACATTCCAATGGCAGGTGGGGGGGCAGAGGCAAAAATGGATGGAGCAATGCATGAAAATGTATACTTTGTACAGTCACCTAGTGTCCCCCCCACACACCCCTGTGTCCTGAATCCATGTAAGCAAGAGGCTTTATCAGAATTCAAGGGAGGGCTCTGACAATTCCATCTTAACCTGATGAATTATTACAATTTGTGATCGTTAATTTCCTTTCCCTTCCTCTTTCCATGCCTTCCCCACCTCCATAACTTGCTCCAAAGTTGCTTCTAGAGCCCCAGTCTTTGTTTATGAATTTATGCCCTGCCTTCTGTTTTTCTTGTTTCAAACCAGCTAGTGGTCAGATTACAAAAATTCAATAAGATCATTTTAGAGCAACATAATAAAAAGCAGCCGCCCAAACCCAGATCACAAAAGCAGGGAGATGGAATCAGGGATGTGTTTGTCTCTCTTTCTTTCCTCCAGAGATCCACCCGACAACTTTGATCCAGGGGTCATTAGGTTGACCCATCCTGAATTGACCTGGGGACCCCACTCCCCCCAGATCTGCTCCCAAAAGTTTTCAGGGGTGAAGCTAATGTTTAGTGGGCCATCCTGATGTTTGGAAGCATCCAGCAGGCTACCTCTCCTTCTTGTTGAATGCCTCCCCACCCCCAGGGTCTAGGCCACCCAACCCACCCTTGGTAGCGATCCATGGCCATCTGAACTGGACTCATCTGGTGCCTGAGCCCTCCAAAGAGGCCCAATTTTACCCAGTACCTGGCCACACCTAATGCGCAGAACGATTTCAAGGACACCTTCCTATCAGAAAGCAGCACCCGAGGAGAGTGCACTGCAGGGACAGCCAGAGATGGAGATGATGATGATGATGTTTAACTGATTATGTATACCCCACCCATCTGGCCGGGACTCCCCAGCCACTCTGGGCAGCTTCCAACAGGATATTAAGAACACAATAAGACATCAAACATTAAAAACTTCCCTAAACAGGACTGCCTTCAGATGTCTTCTAAAAGTCAGATAGTTGTTTATTTCCTTGACGTCTGATGGGAGGGCATTCCACAGGGCAGGTGCCACTACCAAGAAGGCCCTCTGCCTGGTTCCCTGTAACCTCACTTCTCGCAGTGAGGGAACCGCCAGAAGGCCCTCAGAGCTGGACCTCAGTGTTCGGGCTGAATGATGGGGGTAGAGATGCTCCTTCAGGTATACTGGGCCGAGGCCATTTAGGGCTTTAAAGGTCAGCACCAACACTTTGAATTGTGGCTCGGATTCGTACTGGGAGCCAATGAAGGTCTTTCAGGACCAGTGTTATATGGTCTCGGCAGCCACCCCCAGTCACCAGTCTAGCTGCTGCATTCTGGATTAGTTGTAGTTACCTTCAAAAGTAGCCCCACGTACAGTGCATTGCACTAGAGCATGCGCCACTCTGGCAAGACAGTCTGTGGGCAGGTAGGGTCTCAGCCTGTGTACCAGATGGAACTGATAGACAGCTGCTCTGGACACAGAATTGACCTGCACTTTGACAACTGTGAGTCCAAAATGACTCCCAGGCTGTGCACCTGGTCCTTCAGGGGCACAGTTACCCCATTCAGGACCAGGGAGTCCCCCACACTCACCCACCCCTTGTCCCCCCTAAACAGTACTTCTGTCTTGTCGGGATTCAACCTCAATCTGTTAGTCACCATCCATCCTCCAGCCACCTCCAGACACTCACACAGGACCTTCACCATCTTCACTGGTTCTGATTTAAAAGAGAGGTAGAGCTGGGTATCATCCGCATTCTGATGAACACCCAGCCCAAACCCCCTGATGATCTCTCCCAGCGGCTTCATATAGATGTTAATGAGCATGGGGGAGAGGATAGAACCCTCAGGCACCCCACAAGTGAGAACTCTGGGGTCTGAACACTCATCCCCCAACACCACTTTCTGGAAACGGCCCAGGAGGAAGGAGTGGAACCACTGTATAACAGTGTCCTCAGCTCCAAGCTCCTCTAGACGGTCTAGAAAGATGTTATGGTCGATGGTATCAAAGGCCATTGAGAGATCCAGCAGAACTAGGAAACAGCTTTCACCTTTGTCCCTAGCCTGCCGGAGATCATCAGCCAGTGCAACCAAGGCAGTTTCAGTCCCATGGTGAGGCCTGAATCCCGAGTCCCATGGTGAGGCCTGGAGGGTTTGCATCCTCCAGGCGTGCTTGCAGTTGTTCAGCAACCACCCATTCAGTCACCTTGCCTAAAAATGGAAGATTTGAGACTGGGCGGTAGTTGACCATATTGGCCAGGTCTAAATATGTTTTTTTAAGAAGCAGTTTAATGACCGCCTCTTTCAGCGGGCCTGGGAAGGCTCCCTCACAGAGGGAATCATTTGCCACCCCACAGAGCCCATTGCCCAGCCCTTCCCAGCTCGCTTTTATTAACCAGGATGGGCAAGGATCAAGGAGACAGGTGATTGGTTTCACTCACCCAAGCAGCCTGTCCAGATCCTCAGAGGTAACAGATTGGAATTGATCCCACGCAACTCAACTAGTCAGGCTGCTCTCCCACCCCGGCCCTGCTCCCACAGGGGACTCTACCTCTTTCCGAATCTGAGTTACTTTATCTGCAAAAAAACTTTGCAAAATCATTGCAGGAGATCTTGTGATCCTTACCAGGCCCCAATGGCGAAGGTGGTTCTGTTAGATTGCCACCCACTTGAAAGAGTCTCCTGCTGCTGTTTTCTGCAGATGCAATAGAGGCGGTGAAGAAGGTCCTCTTCACCGTCGCTATTGCCACTTGGTAGGCTCAACGCTGAGCTCTAACCAGTGTCTGGTCCGAATCAGAATGAGTTTTACACCACCGGTGCTCTAGCCGTCTCAAATATTGTTTCATTGTCCTCAGCTCCAGGGAAAACCATGGGGCTGTCCGGGCTCCATGCAATCAGAGAGGGCACTTTGGAGCCAGAGAGTCAATAGCCCTGGTTAACTCCGTATTCCAACGGGCCACCAGGGAATCAGCTGAAAGGCCATCAACATGGGATAAAACATCCCCTACCACTCTCTGGAAACCATTTGGATCCATTAAGTGGCAGGGGTGGACTATCCAATCTCCCTGCAGAGGGGAAGGGTCGCGGAGAAGTCCAGTTGCACCAGGAGGTGATCTGACCATGGCACTTCTTTTGATTCACTTTTACTTAGTGTCAGATCACCCACATCCATAGAGGTGAATACCAGGTCTAAGGCATGTCCGCGAGTATGAGTTGGGCCAAACTTATTCAGGGACAGCCCCATGGAGGCCATGCTTTCCACGAAGTCCCAAGCGGCCCCTTGTAAGGTTGTGTCAGCATGGATGTTAAAATCCCCTAGGTGTGGCTTCGGGAGAGGGTGTGTGTCTGGAAGAGGCCTGAGGCAAGTCCCTGGAGGTTCCTCATCCCTGTGGTGCTTGTCCTGATTGGGTCAAAATTCAACAGAATCAAATTGATGGATGGATTTTAGCTCTGAAGCTTCTCTTTCCTGGGGGCTGGGGCCTCCCAGGCTGGCTTTCTGCTGCAAGTACAGTGATCTTGCACTGACAAACTTTCCAACATTTGCTAGAAAATGCAACTGTAATGTCTACTTCGTATGGGTTTCTCTTCTACGATGTTTCTGCCTTGATCATGCACAAAAGAAAATGCAACACTTCTCAGCTTCTGGAAATGTGGAGCATTCAGAGGATATTAAAAGAGTAACCACATTTCCCAAAGTCTACTTGAATCTGTATTTATATTTCAATGTGTTTAACTTTCTTCTGCCTTGAACAAAGACCATGTAGTTGAAACAAGAGAGGAAGAAAGTCAATCTCTCAAGTGACGCTTTCTTGCCCAAACTCTGGTCTTTGTTACACCAACTTATAAACTTACCCTCAAACAAACATCCTTTTGTACGTTTAAGGCTTTGAAATGGAAATGTACTCATTATTGAGTACAATCCAGCTTTCCACTCATCTACACACCTCCCTTCTGCTTCTGAGTGTCAAAATTTGTTGGCGTGTACAAAAAAAGAGAAGGCTTAGTGTTTTACAATTATTTAAGTACTGCTTGTATATTTGTACTATCGGTTTTCTTCATCAATGTTTTGAGTCTTGGTGGGGAAGCAACACAGAAATCAATGGATCAATCAAACTTGCTCTGACAATTCCATCTTAACCTGATGAATTATTACAATTTGTGATCGTTAATTTCCTTTCCCTTCCTCTTTCCATGCCTTCCCCACCTCCATAACTTGCTCCAAAGTTGCTTCTAGAGCCCCAGTCTTTGTTTATGAATTTATGCCCTGCCTTCTTTTTTTCTTGTTTCAAGCCAGATAACAAAAATTCAGTAACATCATTTTAGAGCAACATAATAAAAAGCAGCCGCCCAAACCCAGATCACAAAAGCAGGGGGATGGAATCAGGGATGTGTTTGAGCCAGTGTGGTGTAGTGGTTGAGAGCGGTAGACTTGTAATCTGGGGAACCGGGTTCGCGTCTCCGCTCCTCCACATGCAGCTGCTGGGTGACCTTGGGCCAGTCACACTTCTCTGAAGTCTCTCAGCCCCACTCACCTCACAGAGTGTTTGTTGTGGGGGAGGAAGGGAAAGGAGATTGTTAGCTGCTTTGAGACTCCTGAAGAGGAGTGAAAGGCGGGATCACTGAATCACTGCTGATTCAGCAAAGGAAACACAGCCCAGAATAACTAAGGAGATAGTACAAGAATACTTGGCTAGTTTAGATGTATTCAAGTCTCCAGGGCCAGATGAACTGCATCCAAGAGTATTAAAAGAACTGGCAGATGTGATCTCAGAACCACTGGCAGTCATCTTTGAGAATTCCTGGAGAACAGGCGAAGTCCCGGCAGACTGGAGGAGGGCAAATGTTGTCCCTATTTTCAAAAAGGGGAAAAGAGAGGACCCAAATAATTACCGCCCAGTCAGTCTGACATCAATAGCAGGGAAGATTCTGGAGCAGATCATTAAGCAAACAGTCTGTGAGCACCTAGAAAGGAATGCTGTGATCACCAATAGTCAGCATGGATTTCTGAAAAATAAGTCATGTCAGACTAACCTGATCTCGTTTTTGACAGAATTACAAGCCTGGTAGATGAAGGGAACGCAGTGGATGTAGCCTACCTTGATTTCAGCAAGGCATTTGACAAGGTGCCTCATGATATTCTTGTAAAGAAGCTGGTAAAATGTGGTCTTGACTATGCTACCACTCAGTGGATTTGTAACTGGCTGACTGACCGAACCCAAAGGGTGCTCATCAATGGTTCCTCTTCATCCTGGAGAAGAGTGACTAGTGGGGTGCCACAGGGTTCTGTCTTGGGCCCGGTCTTATTCAACATCTTTATCAACGACTTGGATGATGGACTCAAGGGCATCCTGATCAAATTTGCAGATGACACCAAATTGGGAGGGGTGGCTAACACCCTAGAGGACAGGATCACACTTCAAAACGACCTTGACAGATTAGAGAACTGGGCCAAAACAAACAAGATGAATTTTAACAGGAGAAATGTAAAGTATTGCACTTGGGCAAAAAAATGAGAGGCACAAATACAAGATGGGGACACCTGGCTTGAGAGCAGTACATGTGAAAAGGATCTAGGAGTCTTGGTTGACCACAAACTTGACATGAGCCAACAGTGTGACGCGGCAGCTCAAAAAGCCAATGCAATTCTGGGCTGCATCAATAGGAGTATAGCATCTAGATCAAGGGAAGTAATAGTGCCACTGTATTCTGCTCTGGTCAGACCTCACCTGGAGTACTGTGTCCAGTTCTGGGCACCACAGTTCAAGAAGGACATTGACAAACTGGAACGTGTCCAGAGGAGGGCAACCAAAATGGTCAAAGGCCTGGAAACAATGCCTTATGAGGAACGGCTAAGAGAGCTGGGCATGTTTAGCCTGGAGAAGAGGAGGTTAAGGGGTGATATGATAGCCATGTTCAAATATATAAAAGGCTGTCACATAGAGGAGGGAGAAAGGTTGTTTTCTGCTGCTCCAGAGAAGCGGACACGGAGCAATGGATCCAAACTACAAGAAAGAAGATTCCACCTAAACATTAGGAAGAACTTCCTGACAGTAAGAGCTGTTCGACAGTGGAATTTGCTGCCAAGGAGTGTGGTGGAGTCTCCTTCTTTGGAGGTCTTTAAGCAGAGGCTTGACAACCATATGTCAGGAGTGCTCTGATGGTGTTTCCTGCTTGGCAGGGGGTTGGACTCGATGGCCCTTGTGGTCTCTTCCAACTCTATGATTCTATGATTCTATGATTCTATATCAAATCCAAACTCTTCTTCTTCTTCTTCTTCTTCAAGCAGCACTGTTTCGTTTCCTCCAGGGTTCAGTTTCTGCTAAAACCTACAATGTTTGTTCCATCTGGAGATTTCTCTCTCTTTCTGGATAGTATTAACAAAACTACACAAAGCTCTCCTACATAGATTTATTGAAGATAACCAAGGCACATGTAGAACTATTACTCACATTCGAATAGGCTCTGAGTATAGATGGCTAGAAGCTTTTTATGAAGTTCTCTGTGGAGCTCTGTAAGGACGAAGCGAGTTCACCCTTCTTCTTGGGGTTCCATAACTAGACTGCCACTAGATTACGAGGGAGGGAGGGAGGCCAGAGCCAATGGAAAGTAGAATATTGCTGTGCTACATTTCCCAACCTGCCTTGGGGTCTAAAAAGGAGGAAAGGCACTAGGGGTAGCATTGTTGTTCCTTCTACCTAATACTGATACATAGATTTTCTATCACTAAATAACTGAAGCTTGTGGGGGCATAACAGTGTTTCCCATGCCATCTGCTACAGCCAACGCTAACATGACTTAATATGCAATCAGTTCTGGTGCACCTCAGTGTTATTGTATTTTTAATATTTTGTTGGAAGCTGCCCAGAGTTGCTGGGGAAACCCAGCCAGACGGGCGGGGTATAAATAATAAATTATTATTATTATTATTATTATTATTATTATTATTATTATTATTTTATTATTATTAGGGAAATGTCAAGGCAAGGCAGAAAAGGAAGCAAGGGATGCAACGCAGAGCTAAGGAGGTCACTCCATCCATGAAAGCTGAGAAAGGGTCTAGAAGACAAGTCTTGTTGTTGTTTAGTCCTTTAGTCGTGTCCGATTCTTCATGACCCCCTGGACCAGAGCACGCCAGGCACTCCTGTTTTCCACTGCCTCCCGCAGTTTGGTCAGACTCATGTTTGTAGCTTCGAGAACACTGTCCAACCATCTCGTCCTCTGTCGTCCCCTTCGCCTTGTGCCCTCAATCTTTCCCAACATCAGGGTCTTTTCCAGGGAGTCTTCTCTTCTCATGAGGTGGCCAAAGTATTGGAGCCTCAGCTTCACGATCTGTCCTTCCAGTGAGCACTCAGGGCTGATTTCCTTAAGAATGGATAGGTTTGGTCTTCTTGCAGTCCATGGGACTCTCAAGAGTCTCCTCCAGCACCATAATTCAAAAGCATCAATTCTTCGGCGATCAGCCTTCTTTATGGTCCAGCTCTCACTTCCATACATCACTACTGGGAAAACCATGGCTTTAACTATACGGACCTTTGTTGGCAAGGTGATGTCTCTGCTTTTTAAGATGCTGTCTAGGTTTGCCATCGGCTTTCTCCCAAGGAGCAGGCGTCATTTAATTTCGTGACTGCTGTCACCATCTGCAGTGATCATGGATCCCAAGAAAGTAAAATCTCTCACTTCCTCCATTTCTTCCCCTTCTATTTGCCAGGAGGTGATGGGCCCAGTGGCCATGAGCTTCGTTTTTTTGATGTTGAGCTTCAGACCATATTTTGCACTCTCCTCTTTCACGCTCATTAAAAGGTTCTTTAATTCCTCTTCACTTTCTTCCATCAAGGTTGTGTCATCTGCATATCTGAGGTTGTTGATATTTCTTCCGGCGATCTTAATTCCGGCTTGGGATTCATCCAGCCCAGCATTTTGCATGATGAATTCTGCATATAAGTTAAATAAGCTGGGAGACAATAAACAGCCTTGCCGTACTCCTTTCCCAATTTTGAACCAATCAGTTGTTCCATATCCAGTTCTGACTGCAGCTTCTTGTCCCACATAGAGATTTCTCAGGAGACAGATGAGGTGATCAGGCACTCCCATTTCTTTAAGAACTTGCCATAGTTTGCTATGATCGACACAGTCAAAGGCTTTTTGTATAGTCAATGAAGCAGAAGTAGATGTCTTTCTGGAACTCTCTAGCTTTCTCCATAATCCAGCGCATGTTTGCAATTTGGTCTCTGGTTCCTCTGACCCTTCGAAATCCAGCTTGCACTTCTGGGAGTTCTCGGTCCACATGCTACTTAAGCCTGCCTTGTAGTATTTTAAGCATAACCTTGCTAGCGTGTGAAATGAGTGCAATTGTGCCGTAGTTAGAGCATTCTTTGGCATTGCCCTTCTTTTGGATTGGGATGTAGGCTGATCCACTGCTGAGTTTTCCAAATTTGCTGGCATATTGAGTGTAGCACCTTAACAGCATCATCGTTTAAAATTTTAAATAGTTCAGCTGGAATATCATCACTTCCACTGGCCTTGTTATTAGCAGTGCTTTCTAAGGCCCATTTGACATCACTCTCCAGGATATCTGGCTCAAGGTCAGCAACCACACTACCTGGGGTATACGAGACATCCATTTCTTTCTGGTATAGTTCCTCTGTGTATGCTTGCCACCTCCTCTTGATGTCTTCTGCTTCTGTTAGGTCCTTTCCATTTTTGTCTTCTGTTATGGTAATCTTTGTACGAAATGTTCCTTTCATATCTCCAATTTTCTTGAACAGATCTCTGGTTTTCCCCATTCTATTGTTTTCCTCTATTTCTTTACATTGCTCGTTTAAGAAGGCCTTCTTGTCTCTCCTTGCTATTTTTTGGAAATCTGCATTCAATTTCCTGTATCTTTCACTATCTCCCTTGCATTTTGCTTGCCTTCTCTCCCCCACTATTTGTAAGGCCTCGTTGGACAGCCACTTTGCTTTCTTGCATTTCCTTTTCATTGGGATGGTTTTAGTTGCTGCCTCCTGTATAATGTTACGAGCCTCCATCCATAGTTTTTCAGGCACTCTGTCCACCAAATCTAAATCCTTAAACCTGTTCCTCACTTCCACTGTGTATTCATAAGGGATTTGATTTAAATTTGTATCTTACCGGCCCAGTGGTTTTTCCTACTTTCTTCAGTTTAAGCTTGAATTTTGCTATAAGAAGCTGATGATCTGAGCCACAGTCAGCTCCAGGTCTTGTTTTTGCTGACTGTATAGAGCTTCTCCATCTTTGGCTGCAGAGAATATAATCAATCTGATTTCGATGCTGCCCATCTGGTGATGTCCATGTGTAGAGTTGTCTCTTGTGTTGTTGGAAAAGCGTGTTTGTGATGACCAGCTTGTTCTCTTGGCAGAACTCTATTAGCCTTTGCCCTGCTTCATTTTGAACTCCAAGGCCAAACTTGTCAGTTGTTCCTTTTATCTCTTGACTCCCTACTTTAGCATTCCAATCCCCTATAATGAGAAGAGCATCCTTCTTTGGTGTCATTTCTATAAGGTGTTGTAGGTCTTCATAGAATTGGTCAATTTCAGTTTCTTCAGCACCAGTGGTTGGTGCATAAACTTGGATTACTGTGATGTTAAAAGGTCTGCCTTGGATTAGTATCGAGATCATTCTATCATTTTTGAGATTGCATCCCAGTACAGCTTTCGCCACTCTTTTGTTGGCTATGAGGGCCACTCCATTTCTTTTACGGGATTCTTGCCCACAGTAGTAGATATGATGGTCATCTGAACTGAATTCGCCCATTCCTGTCCATTTTAGTTCACTGATGCCCAGGATGTCAATATTTATTCTTGCCATCTCATTTTTGACCACTTCCAACTTACCAAGGTTCATGGTTCTTACATTCCAGGTTCCTATGCAATATTTTTCTTTACAGCATTGGACTTTCCTTTCACTTTCAGGCATATCTGCAACTGAGCGTCCTTTCAGCTTTGGCCCAGCCGCTTCATCAGCTCTGAATCTACTTGTACTTGTCCTCCGCTCTTCCTCAGTAGCATGTTGGACACCTTCCGACCTGAGGGGCTCAACTTCCAGCATCATAACTTTTATATGCCTGTTGTCTTTGTCCATGGAGTTTTCTTGGCAGGAATACTGGAGTGGCTTGCCGGTTCCTGCTCCAGGTGGATCACGTTTGGTAAAAATCTCCACTATGACCTGTCCATCTTAGGTGGCCCTGCATGGCATAGCTCATAGCTTCTCTGAGTTATTCAAGCCCCTTTGCCACGGCAAGGCAGTGATCCATGAAGGTCTTATGAGGAGCAATTGAAGACGTTCAGGTGCTTAGGTTGGAGGAGAGAAGACTGAGAGGTGATGTGATAGCCACCTTCAAATATCTTTAGGACTGTCACATGGAAGATGGAGCATGCTTGTTTTCTCCTGCTCTGTAGGGACTCTGTAGGACTCGAACCCATGGCTTCAACTTAAAAGAAAAAAGATTCCAACTAAACATAGGAAGGACTTTCTGACGATAAGAGCTGTCTCCTTCCTTGGTGGTTTTTAAGCAGAGTTTGGCTGGCCATCTGTCATGGATGCTTTAGCTGAGATTCCTGCATTGCAGGGGGTTGGACTATTATTCTATGAGTCTAAGGCTGTGTTTCTCATCTACTACATCCAGGCTCCAGAACTGGCAGCTTATCCCTTGTTAAGGGGGCTCCTCCCCACTTTATGCCCACATTTATGCACTCCTCTGCGACATAGTCATCTTTATGACTGCAAATTACTCACACCATAAATATTGACCTATAAAAGTTGAGGTTACAGACATTATTTATGTGATGGAAAATTGATTTCACATCATTTGAATCTTCTGAATGTTACTGATTTCAAATGGCAATCCTTGGCAAAAGGTTGCTGCTGGCTTGGCATTGTTGGGTGGTGAAGTGGGCAGAGGGCTGGAGGACATCTGCTTTAACTTGAATTGCCATGGGATTTTTTTTTTTTACCAAAAATAAAATTCAAGGTGAATTTAGAGAAACTTAGTTAAATCAGCAGTAGGCATTTCAAAGACAGTAAAAGGAATTGTAATAAGCATGATGAGCATTTATAAAGAGGGTTTGAAAACATGCTGTATGCATAGAATCATAGAATCATAGGGTTGGAGGGGATCCCCAATGGTCATCTATCCCAACCCCCTGAAATGCAGGAATCACAGCTGAAGCATCCCTGACAGATGGCCACCCAACCTTTGTTTAAAAGCCTTCAGTGAAGGAGAGTCCACTCCCTTTCGTGGTCATTCAATATACTGTTTGAACAACTCTTCCTGTCAGAAAGTTTGCTTATTTAATTTATTTATTACATTCATATAAAAAAGGTAAAGGTACCCCTGCCCGTACGGGCCAGTTGTGTTCGACTCTAGGGTTGTGCGCCCATCTCACTTAAGAGGCCGGGGGCCGGCGCCGTCCGAAGACACTTCCGGGTCACGTGGCCAGCGTGACTAAGCTGCATCTGGCGAGCCAGCACCAGCGCAGCACACGGAAACGCCGTTTACCTTCCTGCTATAAAGCGGTACCTATTTATCTACTTGCACTTGGGGGTGCTTTCGAACTGCTAGGTGGGCAGGAGCTGGGACCGAAGGACAGGAGCTCACCCCGCCGCGGGGATTCGAACCGCCAACCTTACGATCAGCAAGTCCTAGGAACTGAGGTTTTACCCACAGCGCCACCTGCGTCCCTAGCGCCACCCGCGTCCCTATTTAATTTATTTATTACGTTCATATACCCCACTTCGTATGAAGATCTCAGGGTGGTTCACAACATAAAAATACAAAACAAGAACACAAAATACATAATAAAAACAAAAACGCTTGGTGTTTCAGCAGCGGTTGGCTAGCCATCTGTCAGGGATTCTTGCCTTGCCTAGATGGCCCTTGAGGTCCCTTCCAGCTCTACAGCTCTATGATTCTACAATACCTAAGGTTGCTCTGGGAAGGGTGAACCACAAAGCATTCCTCGGAATTCAGAGAGAAATATATTTTATATTGGAAGCATAAACTAAAATGGCAAAAGGTGTGGAGGTAGTTCTTGTGGTAATTTGAGGTTTTCATTTCCTTTTTCCTATACCGGTAATTGGGTCACAGTGGCAATGAGGGGTGCAATGCGAACCTTTGAGAGGCGGCCGTAGGCCTTCCTGAAGCACAGAAGACCCCACACCTAGAGCTTGGCTTCTAATGCTGGCCAAGGCAAAGTGCGGGGGGGGGAGAGCAATTACTGGCTCTGGGATGGCTGTCAGAGAAAGTGGGATCAGACCCGTTGCCCCAGTCTTTTGGCAGCTGGACTTGCTTAGCACACTCAGTTCTGCCCTACCCCCGTCCCATGAGATCTTGCGAGAGCATCCCAGGGCACACCTTGGTGTGCAGAGAGGGCCTTTTCTCTCTGCACCCCTCCCTATATAGAAAGATTAAAAGAGATTTTTGTGCTGGGAAAAGCCAGTGCAAAAAGAACTTTAAAACAATAAAGTTCTCTGCCTTGCTCGGGGACTTTGCACCAGCCCTGGAAGCCCACTAATACTCATGCAGCGGCATTTCCAAGGGTTTGAATATATGTGGTTTTGTGTCTATGTGGAACTCTTGGAACTGAACCTCCGTGTAAGATGCAACTGCAGTGCAATTGGCTCTGCCTGTCCTTGGTCCTGGAGCCCCCTATGGTTGCCCCTGGTCGCCACTGGTTCATCCCTCCCAGGGAGAGCGGAAAATCCTTCCCATAAGAGAGTTTCCTCGTTCAGTCAGCCTTAAAGATCTCTCCAGCCGTGCTTGCTTTCTAAACACAAATGCCACCTGAGAAATCAATAGAGACCTTGGAGGGATCCTGTAAATACTTTACTATAAGAAATGGGGACAAAGCATGGAAGAAATGAGAGGCTTTGATATTATAATCCTGTCCCAGAGACAGTCCCTTGAAACAGTAAATGCGTACCTTTCTGGAGACATTTAAGACACAGGAAGACCCCTGCTAGATCAGGCCAGCACTATGTTCTCACCGTGGCCAAGCAGATGCCTCTGGGTGGGAAACCCACAAGCAAGACCTGAATGCAACCCAGGATTCCACCCATGGGCATTCAGAGCCATACTGCGCAGTATGGGGGGGGGGAATAGAAGAGAGGAGGTGGCAGGGGAAGAAACCAAGGATAAAGTATAAATTGCTAACATACACTAAGGAAAGAGATGGCTTCTCCCTGCCAGATCTGAGATTATATTATGAGGCGTCCTGCCTATGCTGGCTGCGGAAGTGGATTGATTTAAAGAATGTGGATGTTCTGGACTTAGAAGGCTATGATAATAGATTTGGTTGACATGCATATTTATGGTATGAAAAGACAAAAGTTCATAAAGGTTTCCTAAACCACTTAGTAAGAAAAACAATTTCCTTGGGCATTCAGAGTCATATTGTGCCTGGCAGTACGAGGGGGAATAGAAGGGAGGAGGTGGTGGATTCTGAAAGAAGTGGACATTTAAGAACATAAGAAGAGCACTGCTAGATCAGGCCAATGTTGGATCAGTCTATTATTATTATTATTATTATTATTATTATTATTACCCTTAATGTATATGCCACACTGCATCAAGAGACTAGGGGGTTGCTAAAACGACTGTTCACTCATGTAAAAAGGAAGGGCAGCAGCATTTATTTGGCAGAGAAGGAGCTAAATGGCTTCAAGTCCTTTTCCCTACTCAATGGGATGGGCTGAAACCGCTCCCTTTGCAAACAAGGAGTTGTCACTCATACAATATGAAAAGACCTTGGCACAATGAAAGCTAAGGCCAGGAGGCAAAAATGGATGGATTATCCCATAAATCAAACACTTGGTGCTGTTGGAAAAAGCCTAAGGGGATGGTAGGAAGTGGGAGCAGGTTTTTTACTGCATCACTCAGCCATGAGGGATTGGCTTTCTTCTCTCCATCTTAAAGAGAGAGAGAGGTGCTTCTGCTATTCTTTTCCATTCTTTTCCTTTTACTATTCATATATATCCCCCCCCCCCGAAAGTTCTCTCTGTAAGATGCTCACAGGTTAAAACAAAATAAAAATTCTCTCCCTTGTGTCCACTCAGTCAAGAAGAACAAGGAGCTCCTCTGCTGCACTGTGATCCTGATGCCCCTCTGATGTTGCTGGAACACCCCAAAATTATTCAGGACTCTTCCTTAGAAGAAGGAATTGAGGCTCCAGATTAGCTGCTCCCTTGAGGCTCTCCTCATCTCCATCTGCCAGGTGCGCTTGCCAGCGTCGTCGCAGCCGTGCAACGGTCACAGCAGGCTCTACAGGAGGCCCCTGGATGTGAGCACAGCCAAGGGAGCGCTGCTCAGAAAAGCTGCTGTGCAATTAATTGAGGACGCCTTGCTTTGTGCTGTGGGGACATTCGGCAGAGTAAAGGCAGAAGCACTGAGGAACAATGGGAGGTATTTGTGTGGATTCCAGCCTGCTGTGAAACAGGATTGTTTCCTCTTAAACTCCTGCCTTTGCTGTAGGCTCTTTTTCTCTCTTCCTTGTCTTCATCTGGCATAGATCTTTCGTACTGTCGATGCACAGGTAGTTTTCTAGCTGATTCTGTCACTTCAAGTTTACTCTAGGCTTTCAACAAGCACTAATGCACAAACACCCAATCCTCCTTCCCTGGAAGTAGCTGTGCTCCAGTCTGCGCAGAGGTTGCAACCTCTGCCATGGAGACATATTTCTGGCTCAATTTACCCATCGTTTAATGATCCAGAACACCGTGATCTCCAATAGAAGGTCACAGCCCTGCCTCTTCATTAATTTTAGTGGAAAATCCTCTTCATCATTCAAGCATTATTTGGCAGCTCCACACAGACGTCGGGTTAAGAGAGAGGAAACTGATATTTGCTGATATTTGGAGAGCTAATTTTATTGTGAACTATTATATTCTAATAGAATATTGAATATTGCTTTATTTGGTTCAAGTTTGTTTTAAAGTCGTATTTTTATTATGATGTATTTGCATTGGATCGGTTTGGTACAGGTTTACAGTTGGGCTGAGGAAACAAGGTGCTCACTTGCTCTTCTTTAAAAAGAAAAATCTTTAGTGGCATTATTAACAGCCCAAAAGTGCAGTAGCAGCGGATTGCATCATACCACATACAAAGCAAAGAAGCGATAAATAATAAGAGAAGGAAATGATAAGGCATCAATATACATGAAGGCGTTCATATTTCCTGAGCTGGTATGGATGGAGAAGTCTGAAGCATAGGAAGTAAAATCCTGCCAGCTTTCTGGATGGCCCACCGCCCCAAAAACTCACAGATTATGTGTATCCCCCCCCCCCCCGCAATAGCCAAAGTCCACAAGTCTTTATACCATACAGCCAACTGCAGATTTTTCAAGTCTTTCCATGGCTGGGCTATTGAAATCCTAGCAGCAGCTCACATCTGTGTCCAAAGCTCCTTAGAGCGACAGGCTTCATGTTGTCTGTCCACATGCATAGCAGTGACAGGTGTGGGGAAGCCTGAGCAGGTGATTTAATTATTTTAGATATTTCTTGGTATACTTGGAACCAAAATAATGAAACCAAGGATGGAAGGATGTCCCTCAGAGCCCAAAAGCCCCTTCATCAACCCTTTGTTTTGTTTATATAATTTTTATTAAAGATTTTCATTGGTTACAAAAGTATGTGCTTTGTCTCTTTTTCAGGTTGTAGAGTCTTTTCTACAGATCAGTTACATTCGATGTGAGACATTAGTGCTGGATACAGGATAAGGCTGGGGGAGAAGGGGGGGGAGGATGTTAAAACCAGCATTCTTTTACTTAGTGAATGTGTGGGGTTTTGGCATCACTAGGGTAAGTTCTCTTTCTATTCAGTCATTGTTTTTCCTTGGCCGTGAGAGAGGTGGGGCGGGGTGGGTCTTGGTTGGTTATCTTTATTTGACTGCATTGAGAGTTGTTTGCGGTGGGGGAGATTGCTAGGCATATGGATTCATATGCCATCAATCCTGTCTTGACTGCCCTGTAATAGAAGACCTCTGCACAGGTGTGCGATGCCATCTGGGCAGATTCCACCTGTGCTGGGGAAGCAGGGTGCTCCCTTGTTCTTCAGGTTTATTCTTTAATCCTGAAGTGCTCAGGTAAACTCAAACTTGAGCAGCATTATTTAAGTATAATAGACAGCAAACCTGCTTCTTCCTCAGCCCCCTGGCCCAGCACATATTCAGGGCAGCACATTAGGAAAGGCTGTATTGGTGTTCGAGGATAGATGTGGTTTAACATGCTCATGGTGTGGAAGAAGAGCTTGGCATTATCCATGAAGCATTGTCCATTGGGACCCCTGAACTTAAAACTGCAGGAGTCAAAGAGATGATGGGTTATTTTATTATATTTTTATTTTCTGTGTTCTTGGACTTGAAGCCCAAGGAGGAGGAAATGGCCAGGGAACAGAAATCTCAAACCAGTAAACTCTGGTGAACCTCTTCCTCCTCTGCTCCCAAAAGACACTCCATTAGATGGTACATTAGGAGCATGTACTTGCAAGATCCGAATCCTTTCAAGTGTACGTTCTGCAATAAAGTCTGCAGCTCAAGCAGCAATTGGCATTATTTCAGCTATTTGTCTGAAAGCTCTTTTCATCTCTGTTGACAAGATTTGATACCTTCCTGTTTTGTTTTATCTTTTGTTTTAGGCTTGAGTGCAACAACATCAGCTTTTATTTTGCGTTTCATTTCGTTTCTCCTTCGAAATGATTTTGGGCTGGCTGTGTTATCTGCAATGATGGGAGAAGCCTGATAAAAGGTCTTAGGTTCATTTTGAGGACCAGGCGAGGCAGCTGTCTTAATCTCACAAGGCGCTATCTGCATGTGCAAACTGGGTTTTCAGAGAATCTTATCATTTTCAACATTCATTTCAAAGGTTAACTGAAAAGATTACAAAGAAGGATTGACTTCGCTGACTTTTCTTCTGTTGCAATGCTGTGTTCTTCCTTCGTTTGCTTTTGGAAAACTCTTAGAATCTGCCTCTCTCTCTCTTTTACGTTTTCAAGGTGGTTAGCAAAAATTAAACAAACAAGAAAAATAACAATAACTGATCTTTTTAATTATTAAATTTATTGATCACGTTTTTACCCACATAACTTGTTACTTACAGTAAAAAACAAACAAGCAAATAGATACATTAAGATATTAAAAAAAGTAAACTCTAAAAGCTGGATGAAAACATTCTCCTGCTCACAGAGGCCATGGAAAATTAAAATCCAAAGGCCTGGAGGGAAAGGAATGTTTTTCACTTGGTGCCAAAGATATGAAATGACGGGATTCAAGAAGCAGACCTCTGGTTTATCGCTATGGTGGAAGGGCACGGGTTCGCTCCTCAGCAATGAACCTGATCGGGGGTCTAAGGGGGGAGTGAAGGCAACGCAAATCCCTAAAAAACTTAAGAGGGGTTCTTGAGTTTTGAAAGAATCCAGCAGCGCAGAAAAGGAGTTTCCCGGATGCCCTGTCACCCCGCGAGGAGAAGGAGAAGGAGAAGGGGGAGTGGGGAGGAGAAGGAATTGGAGGGAGGGGAAAAGGAAAATAAAAAAGTGAGGGAGACTACGTAGGAAATAACTAGATGAACATAAGAAATAACTATAGAAAGAAATAGTGAGCTGGGGAAAAGAAAAAGGAAAGGAAATATCTGTTCTTAGGGATAGGATAGGATAGGAGAGAGAGAGAAATTAGACTTTTGAGACAATATTCTTGACAGAAGACAATCAGAAAAATGACAACCAAAAAACACAAACTTTGACAAGCTTAACTATCTCTTCTTCATTACAAGCAAGAAGAGGTTCAATGTTAGAAATTGACCCAAATGCAGATATTAAAGAGCTGATACTGGGAATGAGAAAAGATAGGAATGACAATGCAAGAGCCCTAGATGAAAAATTAGATGCAATGGGGACTAAAATTGAACAAAATGCAAAGTTAATTGTAGAACTGACAGGACAAATTAAGGACCTTTCGGTCAAAAATAAAGAATTGGACAAATCGATGTTAGAAATTAAAAACAAATCACATAAACCAGAAGTAGTTTTAAAAAGTGCAGAATGAATACAAAGATATGGAGAAAAATCAGGAAAAAGTGAAAGAGGAAATTAAATAATTGAAAGAGACGCAAGAGGCAACTTGGGATGTGGCTGCCATGCTAGAGATGATGCAACGGGAGATGACCTTACGCTTTCAGGGATGCCCAGAAGAAGGGGAGAAAATAATAAAAGAACTGGCCAACGGGTTGGAAGTACAAGAGGAAGAAATCTCTGGGTGCATAGAGAAAGCATTTAGAGTGAAATCGATACGTGCCAAAACCAATAAATGGCCAGGAGATTGTCTTGTAACATTCAACTCAAGAGTACTAAAAGACAAAATTCTACAAAATATTTTTTTAAAAAAAGGCTTAGAATAGATGAAAAGAATATTATTATACTCAGGGAGATCCCAGTTCAATTGTTGAAGAAAAGAAACAACTATAAATTCCTAGCTGAAGCTTTAAAAAATAACTCCATCTCGTATAGATGGGAATACCCAGAGGGGATATCATTTACCTACGGGGGGGGGGCAGAATTGCAAAACAATGGAAGAGGTAGATAAGTTTTGGAGAAGATATAGGAAAGATTTAGGAGGGGAGACTTCACAGGAGGAGGGGGAAGAAAGGGAAGAACTGAATGTACTACCAAAAATGCTCTTTCATCTGGCAAGGGAAAAGATCAAAAATCAGCTTTTAATTGATATAAAAGAAAGGGGGGGTTTTGCTACCAGATTTAAAGCTATATTACGAAGCCGCATGCCTCACCTGGATAAAGGAGTGTGCATTTTACAGGACTCAGACCTACTAGACTTGGAAAGCCAAGATAAAGCCATGATAAGGCCATGATAAGAAGACCCCTTTATATGGTCTGCGCAAAATATAAAGATCTTTTAGAACCAAAAACACCATGGTGGATTTCCCCCCTGGTGTGATGGCCTGGGACTCGGGGTCGGACTCGGAGCCAGAGGAGTCTCAGTCCGCACCGAATCCTTTGTCTCAGGTGGCAGCTGAACCTAGTCTTGGGCCTGATTCTGAAGGTTCCCCTGCAACAAGCATCAGCTGGGCTGAGTCAGGAGCCTGAGCCTGCTCTGGCTCCAGATGCAGGGATTACCTCGTTGCCTCCAGCTGGGCCATCACTTACAGCTGCTCCACTACTGGTTGGGTCAGGGGAGGCTGAGGCGCCCTCTAGGTCTAGTAACCCACCGACATCTCCCATGCTGCAGAGACTGAGGTCTGAGAGAAGGAGAGACCTGAGTACTCGCAGGAGGAGTGCTCGCCTTCGGGCGAGACAGGGAGGTGAGTCGCCAGGGTATCAGGACTGGTCATTATCCCGACAGAGATAAAAGGCTGCTGGACCCCACCCCAGGTTGCGGGAGCAACGTTGCTGTTTGCCAGAACCTGCCTGTGATCCTGTGCCTGACCTTGCCTGGTTTCCTGCCTTGTGTCCTGCCTTGGCCCTGTCGGACTGACTCTTCACAGAACCCTTGGATTCGGGACTGGACCTGGACCGCGTTATTCAGGTTACCCCCGGCCCAGCACACCTGGAAGCCTTCTCCGTAAAAAAGAAAAACATGAAAGAAAATTGGTCGACATATAAAATATTAGTAAAGAAGATAATCAATTGAAACTCAAAAAATTTTAGGAAATAAGAATACATGTCAAATTGGTTCCAATTTCATCAATTGTACGAAACATTTAAAGTGGATATAAGAAAAAGATTTGCAACAGAAACATCTCTATTAGAAAATGATTTGATTATCTCAAAAACCAAAACGCTTTCCAAAATGTACTGACTCCTCCCTGACTAGGAAGTCGAGGAGGAGGAGGAGGTAAAATCTGTCATTATAAAGTGGGTACAGGACTTTGGTTACAACATATTAATGAAAGATTGGGGAAACCTCTGGAGGAATAACGTGAAATTTACTGCTTGTTATACACTGAGAGAAAACTTTCTGAAAATGCAGCACCGTTGGTACATCACCCCATAAAACTATCAAAAATGTATAAGAATGTGTCAAATAAATTTTGGAGATGCAGTGGTGCAGTGGGATCTATGATAAATATGTGGTGGACTTGCAGAAAATTTAAGGAATTCTGAGACAAAGTATATACAGAACAAAAATAAATGCTTAAGATGTGTTTATTAAAAAAGCAGAAGCCTTCCTTCTTGGGATATTAGGCTCTGATATCCCAATAAGTGTAAGGGAATTATTTCTATATGTGACGGTGGCCGTGAGAATTCTAATACAGTGGTACCTCTGGTTACGTACTTAATTTGTTCCAGAGGTCCATTCTTACCTGAAGCACCACTTTAGCTAATGGGGCCTCCCGCTGCTGCCACGCGATTTCTCTTCTCATCCTGAAGCAAAGTTCTTAACCTGAGGTACTACTTCTGGGTTAGCAGAGTCTGTAACCTGAAGCGTATGTAACCCGAGGTACCACTGTAGCATCAAATTGGAAAAGAATATCATCAAAATGGGAGTGGCAACAGAAATTAATGGAGTATGCAGAACTGGCCAAATTATCAGGAAGAATAAGAATCATAGAATCATAGAGTTGGAAGAGACCACAAGGGCCATCGAGTCCAACCCCCCTGCCAAGCAGGAAACACCATCAGAGCACTCCTGACATATGGTTGTCAAGCCTCTGCTTAAAGACCTCCAAAGAAGGAGACTCCACCACACTCCTTGGCAGCAAATTCCACTGTCGAACAGCTCTTACTGTCAGGAAGTTCTTCCTAATGTTTAGGTGGAATCTTCTTTCTTGTAGTTTGGATCCATTTCTCCGTGTCCGCTTCTCTGGAGCAGCAGAAAACAACCTTTCCCCTTGACCTTGTAGATCAAGCTTTCTTTAATAAATGAGGTTTATTTAAAAATTACATAAAAGACAGCAACAATATAAAATCTGTGGCAGCCTTGGAATATCTTCTGTTATATACATATCGAATAGGACTAAGAAAGTACAGTATCTTAGCTAAGCATTTATTTAAAGTGGATACAAATGGTGCGCTAGATAAATATACACTTAATGTTAGATGGAATTGGTGGGAAGTCAACGGAACTAGAAGAAGACTGTGATAAAGTGTAATAGATATTAATGATTTTTTGATGTTTATTTGTTATGGATAACCTTGATTTTGTGTTGTTATTTTTTTGTAAAAGTTCAATAATGCAATAAAAAAGGGAAGAACTGTCAGGAGATAAAGCAGACTAATGAAAGAATTAAACAGTAAGACAAGGTAGAAGTTTTCTCTCTTAATTTCATTTTTCATATTTTTATTTTATTGTTTGTTGAGATTGACAGTGTGTTAACCATGGACTTAAAAATTATTACATGGAATATTAATGGATTGAATAATAAAACAAAAATAAATAGAGCATATCCTGATGAAACAGAGATGGGACATATTATGTGTACAAGAAACCCATGTAGTGAGGAAACATAGAAGGGTGTTGTCTAATAAAAAATTAGGAATAGACTTTATATCATCAGACAAAGTTAAGAAAAGGGAAAAGGGATCTATGCCAATCCTAAATTAACCCCGGATTTACTATTCAAAGATAATGAAGGCAGGATGATAGCTGTACAAATAACATTGCAAAAAGAGAAAATGGTTATTATAGGAATATATGCCCCAAATGAAAGAAAAGCAGAATTGTGTAAGACACTGCAAGATAAAATATTAGATTATAATAAGAAAAAAATAATTATGCTAGGAGACTGATGAAGTAGTCTCCTTGGAGTTAGATAGAACGGCAAGGAAGTCAGATACAAAGGAAGGAAAACTGCCTCTAACTTTCTTTCAAATGGTAGAGGATTTGAGCTTAACAGATGCATGGAGGTATAAACACCCAGAGCCTAACCAGTCAGTTGGAAGACTAGATGCCATTTGGATATCAATGGACTTATTGTTAAGGATCAAGAAAACAGAATCCACAATCCAGTTACTTTGGAACTGAGAGGAGAGAGGAAATTACCACAAAGATGGAGAATGAATGAAACATATTGAATGATGAAATTATTTTATTGAAAGCAAAGAAATCCTTGAGAGAATATTTTCAACATAACTTAAGTCAAGGGATGGACATTAAGGTAGTTTGGGATGCCAGCAAAGCAGTCATTAGGAGCTTCTTCATCCAACAAAATGCCATTCAAAGGAAAGAAAAAGAAAAGAAAAAGATCAAGATCAGGGAGGAGATAAGCAAAAATGAGAAAGAGCTATTAAAAAACCCACGAAACAAGGCAGTAAAACAAAATATTAAAATGTTACAAATTCAATTTTCTATACTTCTGAACCAGGAAATCGGATGGAAAATTAAAATGGTAAAACAAAGGAATTTTGAATTTGCAAACAAACTGGGGAGAATGTTAGTATGGCAATTAAAGAAGAAACTCCTAACACTGCCCGGAAGGAAGGAGCGAGAGAGGAGAGAGAAAGCATGTGGGGTGGGATATCCATCTCCCAGGCATTGGATCCAAGCCAGCTCCCAGACATGTATAGCAAGGCCAAAATTTACGGCTTGTTTTACTATAAAGGGAAACTTTATGAAGACGTTATACAGGTGGTACATTACACCCAGCAAATTGGCTAAAATGTATAAAACTGATTCAAATTTATGCTGGAAGTGTAGAGAATTAGAGGGAACAATGTACCACATGTGGTGGAGTTGTAAAAAAATAAAGAGCTTTTGGGAAGTTATATACAATGAATTTTAAAATATGTTCAAATTAATGTTTACCAAAAAACCTGAAGCCTTCCTCTTAGGCATTACGGCATCAGACATTCCGAGAGAGAGAAGGAGGATTTTTATCTACACAACAACTGCAGCGAGTTAGTGATAGGGTGGAAAGGAGACAAAATTCCAACAAAAGAGGAGTGGCAGGTTAAATTATTTGAGCATATGGAATTAGCAAAAATTACAGAGAAGATCAGGGATCGGTCAACCTGAAAGTTTAACAATGAATGGGACATTTATAGATTATATTTAAAAGAACATTGTCCCCACATCAAAGCTTTGACTAACTCTTGTAATAACATAAGGCAAAAAGAGCACAAACCACATTTAATACAGGTTAAGTTTGTTGAAAAATAGATGCAATTAATAAGGAAACAAAGGACCCACACTGAGGAGGTCGGAAGTCGGTGGAGAAAGTAGTCTGTCCATAACATTTTTGTGTTTTGATGTTGTATTATTTTCTTCTTCTTTTTTTGAGTTATGATTTATTTTTCCTGTGTGTATTGTTTATAAACTAATAAAGATTGAATTGGCAAAGATATGCAACGATGGTGCCAGGTGGGCCTCCCCAGGGAGAGGATCCCACAAGCTACATATCAGCCCAAGGCCCTTGGGCAAATCATCAGTTAAGTGGCCGGCCTCTCTAGAGGAACCTGCTCAACTGCAATATGTTACTCTGGGCCCTTGGCTGCTCCATCCCTTCAGAGATTGGCGACCTCCTGCTGGCTGGAGATTCATTTGCTCTCAGCACTCTGGCAGCACAGCTACTTTGTTCCTCCGAGGAGTTTCACCCCCACCCCGGACGTCTTCCATAAGTCTTTGCTTTTGGCCCTGCTATACATGTCTGGGAGCTGGCTTGGATCCAATGCCTGGGAGATGGAGCTCTATCTGTTAATCCCCCACCCCACATGCTTCCTCTCTCCTCTCTTGCTCCTGGCAAAGTTAGGAGTTCATAATTAATCTGGAAGTGGAGAGGTGTAAGGAGCTCGTTGGAGCCATTTTAGTAAATGTCAGCAGAGGCAGGAAACCTTCCCAAGTTTTATTAAAGTATGCAAATCCAGAGAGTACATATACAGGCAGCTCCAGGGGCTCCCCTGTCCCTAGTCATCGATAATGGAACATTTTAGAGCTGCCTCTAAAGTGGTCAAGCTGTCTCTGTCCATCTTTAGGCTTTACCACCTGCAACTGGTTTCACAGCTCTGGCCATTCCTGGACCAGGAAAGCCTGGCCGCAACAGTCCATGTATTGGTTGCTTCAGGACTGGACTGCAGCTCTGTGCTCGATGTGGGGCTTCCCTCATGTTGGATCCGTTAACTGCCATTAAAGCAGGATGCTGCAACACGATTGCTGGTGGGAGTGAGGCCTTGTCTGCGTATCACTCCTGCACTCAGCAATCTGTACTTGCTACCCATTTGCTGAGTTCAAGCTTGGCAGCATCCTTCTTAAATTGTAGCCCCACAGCTGGACACAGGACTCCAGGTGTGCTCTGACCAAGGCAGAGTAGAGCAGGACTAATACTTCCCTTGATCTGGACATGAGACCTCTGTGGATGCAGCCTAGAATGCTGTTTGCTTTTTTCCTTACTGCATCACACTGTTGACTCATGTTAATCAAATAATAATAATAATAATAATAATAATAATAATAATAATAATATTTATACCCCACCCATCTGGCAGGGCTTCCCCAGCCACTCTGGGCGGCTTTCAACAAAATATTAAAATACAGTAATGAATCAAACATTAAAAGCTTCCCTAAACAGAGTCTTCTTCTTTTTTTTTTTTAAATGATATTTATTCCAAGTTTAAAATTACAGGGGGGGGGGAAACAATACAAAATACAAAGAAAAATTTAAGCATAACAAAGCAAAACATAACAAGAAAAAAATGAACAATAAAATAGGAAAAAAAGAAGACGAAACAAAAAATATAAAAATGCATTGAGTTAAAATAGAACAAAAACAGATTAAACCTTTACATAATCTTTTCCCTTTACTTATTTCCATGACCTCCTCTCACCTCCCAATTTTGTATTCTAGTTCAGATCGTATTTCCAGCAAATCCTTCTAACCTTATTTTCATTTGCGTATTTTAATTTAAAATAATGTAGTTAAACATCCTCTGTTTCATCAATTTCATCAACTCAATTTCACTTAGTCCTTTATATCATATCTACCAAAACGACCTAATTTTCTTTTTCCAACATCTTTCTAACAGTCTTTTATGTTACAGTATTTTTGAAGATATATTTTGAATTTTTTCCAATCTTCTTCCATCGACCCTTCTCCCTGGTCTCGAATTCTGCCAGTCATCTCAGCCAGTTCCATGTAGTCCATCACTTTCATCTGCCATTCTTCTCGGGTGGGTAATTCTTGTGTCTTCCAGTACTTTCCGATGAGTATTCTTGCTGCTGTTGTAGCATACATAAAAAAAGTTCTACCCTCCTTTCGCACCAATTGGCCGACCATGCCCAGAAGAAAGGCCTCTGGTTTCTTCAGGAAGGTATACTTAAATACCTTTTTCAATTCATTATATATCATTTCCCAGAAAGGCTTAATCCTTGGGCACGTCCACCAAAGGTGAAAGAATGTCCCTTCAGTTTCTTTACATTTCCAGCATTTATTATCGGGCAAATGATAGATTTTTGCAAGCTTGACTGGGGTCATGTACCACCTGTAAATCAGTTTCATAATATTCTCTCTTAGGGCATTACATGCCGTAAACTTCATACCTGTGGTCCATAACTGTTCCCAGTCAGCAAACATAATATTATGTCCAACATCTTGTGCCCATTTAATCATAGCAGATTTCACCGTTTCATCGTGAGTATTCCATTTCAACAGCAGGTTATACATTCTTGACAGATTCTTAGTTTTGGGTTCTAACAGTTCTGTTTCTAGTTTTGATTTTTCCACCTGGAAGCCAATTTTCTTATCCAAATTATATGCCTCCATTATCTGATAATAATGAAGTCTCTTTTTATTATTATTATTATCAACTAAACAGAGTCTTCTAAAAGTCTGGTAGTTGTTTTTCTCTTTGACATCTGGTGGGAGGGCAGGTGCCACCACTGAGAAGGCCCTCTGCCTGGTTCCCTGTAACTTGGCTTCTCGCAGTGAGGAAACTGCCAGAAGGCCCTCAGCGCTGGACCTCAGTGTCCTGGCTGAACGATGGAGGTGGAGACGCTCCTTCAAGTCTACTGGGCCGAGGCCGTTTAGGTGCTTTCAAGGTGAGCACCAACACTTTGAATTGTGCTCGGAAACGTACTGGGAGTCAATGTAGGTCTTTCAGGACCGGTGTTATATGGTTTCGGCAGCCACTCCCAGTCACCAGTCTAGCTGCCACATTCTGGATTAGTTGCAGTATATAAATGCACTGAAATTAAATAAATAAATAAACGCCCCCTTCTTCTGTATGTCCTGTTTATTTCAATAATTCGCCTTTCGTGAAACCATCTCTGTTCTGGTGGTGGGGAGTTTGCTTGTTTTTCAGACCCTCCTCTGGCGCCTGGGCAGGGGAGAGAACTTTGCATCTTTCTGTAGTCCGTTTTGCTCAGAATGTAAGTCAAACTATTTTGAGAGGAAGAGCTTAACATATTTTCTGAACCCATCTGATGCAAAGCGGGGCCAGTTGCCTGTCTCCATTTATTTCTCGGCTTCTGCACATTGACTGGAATAAGGCAAAATGAGCCTCCATGAGCAGACAGTTCCATAAACTGGGTCCCACAAACAAAAAGGCCCCGCCCCAAATACCCACCCAATGATAGCTTACCGTAAGTGGAACTTCCATGCTCAGAGTCTGTCTGATCCAGAAGGGCTCTGGTGTTCTCACCTCAGATTTCTGCCCACAGCCCGGCCCTGGCACACAACTATGGATCTCTCACGTCTTGCCTGGTTTTGCCTGAGGGAGCTCACGTGCAACAGGAAAACTGCCTCAAAGGCGCATTTTCCTGAGTGCCTGTGTCTCCATGCATGGTGTGGGGTTTTTTTCCTTGTTGTTCTGACTCTCATTTTTTACATTTTTCTGCATAAAGGAAGATCCATCACTTTCCTTCAAAGTGACGATGCTGACCTGATTAAAAAAATTATTGGATTTTACAAAATAATTTCATACCTTAACATTCCCTGGAGCCCTGGCAAGGAAGTGGGTGGGAAGGTGTGGAAGCAGCGAGGAGAGTCTATTAAGGAGGAGGTGGAGAAGTGAAATATTTTATTCCATTCAAAAGTTATTGGGCTAGATGAATAATATATCGAAGGGCATGCCGTTTTCAAAATTGCATTCTCATGCCGACTTGTGAAACTTTGCATGCATGAGATGCGCTGTGTTTTCCTTTGATGGGAGTTTCTCTGGGGGCTGGCTGCCCCTGCTGTAAATTGAGCAAAGCAGAAGCCCCTCCATCCTCAGGAGATTGCAGGGGGAGCTTTCCTTTTCCTCTCTCTTTTTTTGAGGGAGGGGGGCTTCTCCCACCTGAGAAGCCCAGCACAGCATGTTCCAGCCCTATGCAGTCAATCTGTGGGGAGGGGCCAGGTTTGCAGCTGGGACTCCACCCACCGGCCACACCCAGACTCTACATATTGGAGGGCCCATCACAATAGGGCTGGCATGCAGAGCTCCCAATGCGCCATAAGCCTAGTGGGGGAGAGAGCCTGCTTTGCACACAGCAGGTCCTCATTCTAACCCCAGCACCTCAGTTAAAAGGAGCAGCTTACCTGGAGGCCCAGCCCCACCACACACCTCCTGCCCCTGACCTGGGCCAGCCGGTCATTAGAGGAACATCTGCTTATAAATTGGTGCCCGAGTTGGGAGCCTGATTTCCCTCTTGCCTCCCTGTCACTTTTTCTTTGGTGTGATAGTTTGCTTATTTATTTATTTAGGTTGCAAGGCTGCCTTGTTTGGAGTGTCTGTAAGCTGCCCTGGGAGCCTTTTGGGCTGAAGACCAGAGTGCAAATGCGCTAAATAAATAAAAATGAAAAAATCAACTGGCAATGTGTGGCTGGGGAAATCCCTGCTTGCAGCCCTAGAGAGCAGCTGGGCTTGGTGGGCAAACCACCTGACCCAGTCCCAGGGGCTTTCCTATTTTCATGTGTGGGCCACTTGAGCATGGTTGGCATGGAGTGTGAAGAGAAGATGTGGAACAAGTGAAGCATCTCTTAACTGCTGTCAGAATGATTATTTGTTGGGACTGAGAATGAGAACACCACCCATGAGAGAATGGATAACTAAAATCTGGGGATATAGGAGGCTTGGTTAAGCTTACATATATGGTGAGAACCAGAGAGGGTAGACAACAAGATAATTTCTTCATCGAAAAATGGAGCCATCTTTCAACAATATACTGGAGTGATAAGGTTCTGGAGAACACTCAACCATTTGTGTTACTTGGAACTTCATGATATAGAATCATAGAATCATAGAATCATAGAGTTGGAAGAGACCACAAGGGCCATCGAGTCCAACCCCCTGCCAAGCAGGAAACACCATCAGAGCACTCCTGACATATGGTTGTCAAGCCTCTGCTTAAAGACCTCCAAAGAAGGAGACTCCACCACACTCCTTGGCAGCAAATTCCACTGTCGAACAGCTCTTACTGTCAGGAAGTTCTTCCTAATGTTTAGGTGGAATCTTCTTTCTTGTAGTTTGGATTCATTGCTCCGTGTCCGCTTCTCTGGAGCAGCAGAAAACAACCTTTCTCCCTCCTCTATGTGACATCCTTTTATATATTTGAACAAGGCTATCATATCACCCCTTAACCTCCTCTTCTCCAGGCTAAACATGCCCAGCTCCCTTAGCCGTTCCTCATAAGGCATCGTTTCCAGGCCTTTGACCATTTTGGTTGCCCTCCTCTGGACCCGTTCCAGTTTGTCAGTGTCCTTCTTGAACTGTGGTGCCCAGAACTGGACACAGTACTCCAGGTGAGGTCTGACCAGAGCAGAATACAGTGGCACTATTACTTCCCTTGATCTAGATGCTATACTCCTATTGATGCAGCCCAGAATTGCATTGGCTTTTTGAGCTGCCGCGTCACACTGTTGGCTCATGTCAAGTTTGTGGTCAACCAAGACTCCTAGATCCTTTTCACATGTACTGCTCTCAAGCCAGGTGTCCCCCATCTTGTATTTGTGCCTCTCATTTTTTTGCCCAAGTGCAATACTTTACATTTCTCCCTGTTAAAATTCATCTTGTTTGTTTTGGCCCAGTTCTCTAATCTGTCAAGGTCGTTTTGAAGTGTGATCCTGTCCTCTGGGGTGTTAGCCACCCCTCCCAGTTTGGTGTCATCTGCAAATTTGATGTCATCTGCAATTATTAAAAAATTATTAGTTTTCAATTTTGGTATGGAATTCTGTTTCTATAGGCATGGCTCTAGATATTTCCTTTTCTGCTATTATTTCATTTCATTTGGCATCTGTTATTGTATTCTGTGGGGTTTTATTATAATATATATTCTTTTTTCTTTTTAAGCTCTGCAACATGAACTTCATGACCCCCCAATGCCCTCGGTGGGGCTTCTGGCAGCAATCCCCCCAGATCCTGAATGAGTGGCAGGAGGTGTCTAGCTGAGGATCTGTAGATCAACACAGGCCCTCCACCAAATTCTCACTTGGGGACAGCAGACAGCTGGCTGGTCATGTGATCTCAATGCCACCTCCTGGCTTCCATTTGATTATCTCTAATAATAGACAGATATAAATGCGTCAAATACTTCCCAAGCATTGCATCTCCGTGCAAGCTGTTGGCACAGCTGCTGCAGGGAGACTTTGAGGCAGCAAACAGGAGGGGGGTGCCCAAGAAAAAAAGTGGCTGCTCATGCATGTGGCTTCCATGGTCTGCTGGTCGGAAGGTCCGGGAGGGAGAGTTGGAAGTTGGAGCATGCAGCCAGCATCTAGGCAGAGCTGCACTTACAAACCCAAAGGCAACCTGAGAGCTTTGAGCCTCCTCTGAAAGGTAAAGCTCTGGGAGTATCTTGGGAGCTACTAGGAGCAAGAAGCAATGGCTCTGTGCACCACTGTCATGTGGTGAGCCATGAGGGCTACTGGCAGAGGTGGATGGTGCCCAATAGGACTCACAGAGCAGAGAGAGCCAGAGCCAATGCTAGGCAGAACCAACCCATTCCATCTTCAGCCCCATCTTCCTCCCTGCTGAATTATACCAGAGCAACATGGAGATGGAGGATGAGGAGGCTGACAGCCTGGAGGAAGGTAGGCAGATGAGGGTCTGGCTGAGGGGCAGGCTGACGTTGGTGGGGCAGAGCCCCATTTTCCTTAATGAACCCACCTCCACTGGCTACTGGTTGGTGCCTGACCCCAAGCCATGGGTAGCCAGTGTCCTCCAGATGCTCCAAGACTGCAACTCTCCTTGTGCCTGGCCATTGGCTAATGGCCACGCTGGTTTGGGCTGCGGGGAGCTGGAGTCCCACAAGCATTTGTGGGGGCACAGTTCATAGGCACATAAGGATTCCTGGGTATTGGAGGGACTTGGACTATGCAAGATGGCAATTGGCTCACCTGGTCAGAAAAAGATATTAAAATTTCCTGTTGTAGCTGGAACCTTGCCTAGACAATGGTAGTCTTTTCTGATTATGGATGAACCTTGGAAGCTGCCTTATCCAGAGCCAAACTATTGATCCATCTAGCTTGGTGTTGGAAATCTGTTTTGGCCCCAGGGCCACGCTCCTTTCTGGACAATCTTCTGGGAGCCACATGCCAGAGGCAAATGTGGGCAGAGACACAAATGTAATTCTTACTTTTGAAAAGTAGACCAGTTTCTACTTTTAGCAAGGGGGAGCCTGCGAGATCAAGCCAATGTTCTCATAGTGGCAGAGCAGATGACTACGGGAAGGATACAAGCAGGATCAGAGTACCAGAGCCCTCTCACCTATTGTGGTTTCCAGCAACGGGTATTCAGAACCATGGAGGCAGCACATAACCATTGTTGCTAGTAGCCATCATTAGCCCTCTCCTCCATGAATCTGCTAATTCTCTTTTCACAGACACACTCACAATTCTCTATCTTCCATCCAGGCAAGCAAGGAGCATTACCAGAGATGAAGAACACTTTGCAGCCTGGCAAAAACACCCAAGGAGGATGCAAAGCAGAACTAGGGATGGGTGTGGTCTGGGGAGAGGGGATGGGACTGGGGATGGGGAGCCGGCTGGGTAGAGGACCTGATCCAGGGCCCTAGGGGGTCACTTCTGGCCCCGGAGATTCCCCATCCTTGGTCTGCCCCGATTCTTCAGGGTTTCAGGCCGTGGGCTTTCCCAGCCTGGAGGCACTGGAGATTGAACTCAGGACTTTCTCATGCCAGGCACATACACGCCAACATTTCTGTGATGAAAATAGGAATGTCCTAAGGAAAAGTGGGACATTCCAGGATCAAATCAGAAACCAGGATGGCTTCTGTAAATCTGGAACTGTCCCTGAAAAATAGGGCACTTGGGGAGGGGGGCTGCAAGCACACACTATTTCTGGCCCCTTGTCACTTCCCCATATACTCCCTAGCCAGCCTAGCCTTCTCCCTTCTGTTTCCATATCAACCTGTGATTATAAAAATACATCAGCACAAGGGGGGGGAGAGTCGCTTTCCTCCTCTCAAAATAAATAAGTGGTTTCTCTTAAAATATTCAGTTCTAAACATGATTTGCCTCAAAATATCTGCTTCCAAATGCATTTTGACGCATGTTTGGTGCTGTGACATGCCACAGCGTGAGGGGGAGCATGAGATCCAAGGGGCGGCAGCGCTCCAGTCTGCATGTTAGCCTGGGAAGTGAGGGCCAAAGCAGCTTCTTCCACCAGCTTTCCTGTTCCCGACTCCTGCCATGACCAGCTCAGGACTCCCAGGGTGGATGTGTTGCTTCAGCAAACTTCAGGCCTTCCTGTGCTGAGGGAATGTGGAGCTGGGAAAATGCAGGGAGTGCTTCTAGGGGGGCCCTGTGGGCAGGAGGAACAGCCTCGACCCTTCCTCTTCCCATTCTCCCTTCCCCTGACTTTTAACTGTAATTGCTTTCAGAATGTTTTTTACTGAAACTGCTTTTAGATGTTTAAAATTATGGTTGTTGTTTTAGAAAGTTAAAACTGTTTTAGAATGTTTTTTGCTTGGTTTTTGTTTTTCAATTGTGTATCTGTTTTCTGTTGAATAAAGGTGGGGGGGGTGTCAGGACCCATAACAGGCAGTACGTACTTCTTTCCGCAGCACATAGCTAATCTATGAAACTCTCTCCCGCAATGATGGCCACCACCCTGGAAGGTTTTGGAAGAAGATTAGGCAAGCGGCATGGAGGATAAGACTCTCCCTGGCTTCTAGCTATGATCTGCCTGCACTGTTTGAACAGCAATGCTTCTGAATCCCAGTTGCTGGAAACCACAGGAGAGGAGAGGGCTCTTATGCCCGGATCCTGCTCATGGGTTTCCCATGGAGGCATCTGGTTGACCACTGTGAGTACAGGATGCTGGACTAGATGGGTCCTTGGCCTGATCCAGCAGGGAGCTTCTTATGTTCTTAATCAAAAAACAAACCAATGCCCCTACTCCAGCTGTCCCTTGTTTCCTCAGAGAGGCTTTCCTTCATTCTCAGACCTGGTTCCACCTGCAGGGAAGAACTGGCAGACAGAGCGAGTTGTTCCTTTCAGGGTTGAGCCCAGCTCAGCTGTGGAATCCAAGGTCTCCTTGGGAGAAGAAGCAGCACTCATGGTAACCATGTTGGCTACAAACTGCCTCAGCTGGCAGAGGCTTATGATGCTGATGATGGCTTCCCTTTTACATATATGTCTCGAGGTAATTTGCAGATATCTCCTAAAAACAGCTAGAACACTCATAAAAGCAATACAACACCCCCCACGCTGGAAATCGGTTTTAAAAATAATGCAAAATGAGCACCTAAGGCACTGAGAGCTTTTCATCCAGCTGGAAAAGCTTGTTGAAACAAACATGCCTTCCATTATTCCCAGGAAGTACAAATGACGACTGTCTGTCATATCTCAGCAGGAATTATTTGCCTCTGAAAACCAGTTCCTGGGCATTGCAGAGTGGCCTTCTCATGAGGATCTGGCTGGCCACTGAGAGAACAAAGTGCTGGATCCAACAGGGTTTTTCTGGTGTTCTTAAATCTTCACACTTCCAGTGATCCACAAAGAGCTGCTGGATCCATTCGCTGGATCATCACCTTGTTTTGGTGTGTGGGCTTGCGCATTCCTATGACCCTTGTGAGAGAAGCCGTCGGGAGTCTCGTACTCCCACAGGCAACATGTCAAGAGAGATTGGTTGATTGATTGATTGATTGATTGATTGCATTTATATCCCATCTTTCCTGCAAGGAGCTCAAGGTGGCACACCTCCTCCTCATTTTATCCTCACAACAACCCTGATTGGTAGATTAGGCTGAGAGACAGTGGCTTGCCCAAGGTCACACCCCATGAGCTCCACAGCCGAGGGGGATATGAACACCCGTCTCCCAGGTCGTAATCTAACAATCTGACCATCATGCCATGCTGGCTTTCTAGTGGAGAGAGGGGGTGGGAGACATCAGGCTGGGGGGGGCCTTTCAGGTGCCCCCTTCCTCAGCAAAAGGGGTGGGAGAGATCATCAGGTCCGAAGAGAATCTAAGGGCTCAATTAGAACCTGTGAGTCATCAGAACAAATGGGCTGTTCCAGGGGGTGGTCCAGAGTCCTGGAGCCCTGCCACACTGACCTCCAACCCTTTTCCTCCTGATTCTTGAGAGATGCCCCCACCTCTCGTTGCCCCCTCCTCTTGGCCCTGCCAACCCATATCCCTCCAAGCTCCTCTATGAACTTATTTATTTAGAGTCTCTGTACCACCGTGCAATAGGAAGGCGCTTTGAATGTGCGTTTGTGCCAAGGGCTCTAGAGCAGAGTTTCCCAACCTTGGGTCTCCAGCTGTTTTCGGACTGCAATTCCCATCTTCCCTGACCTCTGGCTGTACTACAACCCACATCATTCCTGACCATCGGCCAGACTGGCTGGGGCTGATGGGAGTCCAGCAGTGTCTGAAGAGCAACAGGTTGGCCATCTTTGTCCTTGAGTCATTTTTATTTATTCATTGGAGACTCTGGCACTAACCACCATCTTTAGTTCTGCTTCCATTGGATTCCATTGGCCAGATGCCATGGATGCTGAAAGGTCACTTCTGTGGATCAATTCGTTACCCCAAAGCAATGGCCAACTGCCCAGTTGTTGCTATCTGCCAAGGACAGATCCTGTTTTCTAATACTGTGTCCATATTTTGTCTCTTGTTCACCTTTGGGCAATTGTTGCAGGCATGAATGGAGGAGAAAATAGATTCTGTTTGCATTTCAAACCAAATCTATCCAATTTCCAATTTCCAAAACAATACGCAAACCAAAACAGCTATTTCAAAATTCACACTTCTCTGAACAGGCCCCTAAAAGAACAAAAACAAACAAGAAATTTACAGTTTGGGGAACTTAATACCATATTGACCTGAATATAAGCCTCACCTTTTCCCCAAATTCTGACCATGAAAAGTTAAAGTGCGGCTTATATTCGCAACCTTATGGTATGCAGCCAGGCAAACAGCGCCAGGAGCCTGGCAAAGCGGTGCCCGCCCTGTGTGTAGTTCCCCGTCCTCTAACCCAAGACCAGGGAGACAGCCAGGAAGGGGAAAGGCCGCTGGCAACGTAGCACAGCCCCCCCCCCCCAGTACACAACAGGAGCAGCAAGGAATGGAGCGGCTTATATTCAGATTTTTTTCCTTTTTTTCTCTCCCCCCCCCCCCCCAATTTTAAAGGTGCAGCTTATATTCGAGTGTGGCTTATATTTGGGTGCAACTTATATTCGGGCCAATACGGTAACTCATTTTAAATTTTCAAAGGAAAGCCTGTTCTTAAGTATTCAGGACCTTTCAGAGAACAAACAGCCAAGCATCATCCTAACTACAGATGGAGAAGAAATTAGATTCAGGACACATTTGAAATGGAATCTATCAAATTTTCAGTTTCTGAAACAATATGTGAACCACATATTGGCGCCATCGGTAATGGCGGATTCCCTCTGACTTTCTGAGGGACCAGCTCCGCGGGATCGGGTCTGCACCGCTGCGGTGAAGCGGGGACCCTTCAAAAATCACAGGCGGGGGCAGCCTGTGAACGTGGGGACTCGGCGGGCACCTTTTGCGCCCCCCAATCTGCAAAGGAACCCATTTACGGGCTCCGGAGCGAAACGGGGTGAGCGGCGCGGTGCTGAGAGTCGACTGCTTTTTCCGCAGAGTGAAGCCGCACAGCCGTTATCGGAGAGCGCTGACTTTTTCCTGGGACAATTCGACTTCAAAAGCAACTACCCGTGAGTAGGATAAAATTGGATTTAAAGGGAGAAAAACAATTAATTCGGCACCGAAGCGGGGAGGCATAAACAGGAAGTCCGCCTTCCGTTTCTTGTAAACAGATCAAAGCAAAGAGACTGTAAGCGGAAACTTTGAAAGACGTTTGAAAAAGGACGCAAATCCTAACATCAGAAAAGCGATCTCCCCTCCGGATTGCAGGAGAGGAGGGGGGAAAGGTTTGAACTGTATTTATCTGCAAAAAAAGAGAGGAAAGGAAGCTAAAATCCACCGCTTAGAACCTGGGAACGGACTGCCTTAGGACAAGGAATGCCGTTCTGTGAAAAGCACTATTGGTAAATAGAGTACTTTTGACAGCTAACTCTGCAAGAGAGATACAGTGTTTCTGGACTTCTCCTGGTTTTAAAGTAACTGATTAAGTGCAATTGAAACTGTTGTCTTTTTGTGAATTGGGGGATTTATAAAGATTATTTTCTTCTCAAAGTTACAAGCTTTGACTGTTACTGTGTCCCCCTAGAGGAGGTTTGACATTGCTACAATAACAACTGGGCCAGGGGAATTTTCCATTTCAAAACAAATTCTAGCCGTGGGACTGACCTTGGACTTCTATTAGAGTGTTATGGCAGATGGAAGAGGAAAGCTTTCTGGGAGATGATCTATAATGAATTGAAAAAAGTATTTAAATATACCTTCTTGAAGAAACCAGAGGCCTTTCTCCTGGGCATAGTCGGCCAATTGGTGCCAAAGAAGGATAGAACTTTTTTTATGTATGCCACAACAGCAGCAAGAATACTCATTGCAAAGTATTGGAAGACACAAGATCTACCCACTCTGGAAGAATGGCAGATGAAGGTGATTGACTATATGGAACTGGCGGAAATGACTGGCAGAATCCGAGACCAGGGAGAAGAGTCGGTGGAAGAAGATTGGAAGAAATTTAAAGACTATTTACAGAAATATTGTAAAATTAATGAATGTTAGAATGATGTTGGATAGAAATTAAGTGGTTTTTAGCTGCAATACTATAAGGGAATATGAAAAATGGATTACTAACAGGTAAAAATTTAATGTTACAATATTTTAAGATTAAAGATTAGGATAAACAAAGAGGGGAAGGATTTGCTGAACCAACAAACCAAACTGGAATACAAAAAAGGGAGGCGTGATATAATGGTATGGGGTTGCTCGTGCGTAAGTTGCCGCCTCTCCTGGCTATGTTGCCTTGTTAAACCTTTCTGTCTGGACAGCCCTTCTATTCGTGGCTGCCTCAGTCGCTAGCAGAATCCGTCAGTGGGCGTTTCTTAAACCTTTTCCAACATAAAGGTTGTTTGACACCCAGTCTCCTCCTACTTTCTCTGCGCGGAAGTCTTCTGCGCAGGGAGGGCGTGGGTAGCAGAGGACCAGTGCTCTCCCCGCTGGTGTCCGGTGAAGAGTCTGGGAGCCCTCTCTCCGATTCCCCCATCTGCCCCTCCTTATTCCTGGTGTTGCACTGAATTGCTTCCCCATCTGCTGAGCTGCCTCTCTCCCTGCTGGGCCCTTCTCCAGCATCATTAGAGAGCCTCCCCTCCACCTCTAGCTCCGATGTCAGTTCCCTGACATCCACCTCCCCCCCAGGACCCCCTCCACTCCCGGCCCAACCTGTTGATCCAACTTCGTCCCTTTCTTCGGCCGCCGATGCAGGGAACCCCCGGAAGGAGCTGTCGTCACACTCAGAGGATTCGAAGCCCGCTTCCCACCCGTTCTGATCCCTTCCCGCGGGGTGGGCCTCCCAGTCTGATTCTTCTTCCTCCGAAACCTCTCCTCCCTCCTCCTCGGAGGCAGGAAAACCCACAAAATCCTCTTCATCGTCTGTGGTTCCAAATTGCTCCTCCCAGAATCTCGCCAGTGGTTTGGGTTTGCCCGGGAACAGGCGGTGGAATTCCTCCACCAGATACCCGTCATCAATTGCCTCCGCGGGAACCCACGTGTTTTCCGACCCGGGTTCTCCCTCCCAAGCTACCAAGTACTCCACCTGGCGTCCTCGCCACCTTCAATCAAGTATTTCCGTGGCCAAGTGGTGGTGCTCCCTCTCTTCTACCTGCGGGTGTGTGGTGACTTCTCCCTCTCGCCCCGGGAATTCCCGCCCCTCCCTGTACGGTGAGAGTAGGGACCTATGGAACACCGGGTGTATTTTCATGCTGTCAGGCAACTTGAGCTTGAATGCCACGGGGTTCACCTGCTGTGTTACTTCAAACGGTCCCAGCCGCCTGGGCTGCAACTTCTTGCACCCCCCCTTAAAGGGTAACCCTTGGGTTGACAACCACACTCTGTCCCCCACCCGTATGGTTTCCCCTTCCCTACGGTGCTTGTCTGCCTGCCTCTTGTAAATTTCCTTGGCCCGCTCCAAGTTCATCTTAAGTTGCTGGTGCAGGGCCTCCATTTCTTCCACAAACTGCTCTGCCGCAGGCACGCTCCAACTTTCCTCCCCACTCCCCGGGAAGGCCCTGGGGTGACACCCATAATTGGCCATGAACGGGCTCATTCCCGTGGACACATGTTCAGCGTTATTGTACGCAAATTCAGCCAGCGCTAGTTTCTCCACCCAATCGTTCTGCCTCTCGCTGACGTAACAGCGTAGGTATTGCTGGAGTATACTGTTCGCTCTTTCTGCTTGCCCGTTGGTTTCCGGGTGTCTCGCCGTCGAGAAGCCCACTTCGACCTGTAGCAAGCTCATGAGCTTCCTCCAGAACCGGGAAGTAAATTGTTTCCCGCAGTCGGAGATAACCCTTGAGGGAGCTCCATGCAACCTGAAGATGTGATCTACAAACAACCTGGCTGTTTCCTCTGCCGTAACCGCATGTGAGCAGGCTATAAAATGGCACATTTTTGTCAGTAAGTCGACCACTACCATGACTGCTGTCTTTCCCCGGGACTTGGGCAGATCGGTCATAAAATCAATGGACACCACCTCCCAGGGTTTTCCCGGCGTGCGTAAGGGTTCCAGTAATCCTGCGGGGGCAGCCCGCTCCCCCTTTGCCCTTTGGCAGCAGTCGCAACCCCGTACATATTCCTGTACATCCTCCCTCCCCCTGGGCCACCAGAACTGCCTGGTGACAAGCATCATGGATTTATGCTGTCCAAAGTGTCCAGCTGTGGGATTGTCGTGGAGTTGTTTGAGTACCTTCCCCCGTAGGGTCTCCCCCGGTACATACAGCGCCCCTTTATAGTACAGCACCCCTTCCTTCTCCTCAAACCCTCCCTGGGTTTCTCTTCCATCTCGGATTTCCCGGATTTTAGTTTGTGCGAACACGTCGTTTCTAGTGAGTCCGGCCAGTTCTCGTTTCCCCACCAAGATTCCCCCACACACCCATCAGTCCTCGGGGATCACGTGTCGTATCTCCGGCGGCCCCTCTCCTTCCCAGTACTCTGGCTTCCTGGAGAGCGCATCTGTTCTCACGTTTTCCTCCCCAGGTACGTATCGGATTTCAAAGGAAAACTTGGAGAACTCCTGTGCCCATCGAATCTGTCTCTGGTTGAGTACTCGTGCGGTCCTCCAGTATTCCAAGTTCTTGTGATCTGTACAAACCTGGATCTTGTGCTGCGCCCCATTAGAAGATGGCGCCATCGACGAAACGCCGCATAGATCACAAGCAGTTCACGGTCACACACAGTATAGTTTTGCTCCGATTTGCTCAGCTTTCGCGAGAAAAAGGCACACGGCTTCCATTCCTGCTTGCTCCTCCCTGGCTGCAAAAGAACCGCCCCAATGGCTCTGTCGGACGCGTCGGTCTCTAGCCTCATGGGTTTCTCCAGATCCACGTGCAGGAGCTGCTCTTCCGATGCGAACGCCTTCTTCAGTCTTTCAAAGGACTGCTGGGCTCCCTCTGTCCAGACGAACTTCCTTTTGCTACTGAGACAATCTGTGATGGGCGCTGTCAAGTGGGCGAAGTTCTTGATGAACTTCCTGTAGAAGTTGCTGAACCCTAGGAACCTCTGCACGTCCTTCCGGGTTTTGGGAGCCTTCCACTCCAGCACTGCCTGCACCTTGCTTGGGTCCATCGCTAGGCCCTTGTCTGACAACCTGTACCCCAGAAACTCGACTTCTCTGGCGTGAAACTGACATTTTTCCAGTTTGACCCACAACTGGTGCTTCTGCAGTAGTTTTAGCACTTCCCTGACATCCCTGACATGTTGCTCCTCATTGTCCGAATAGATTAAGACGTCGTCCAAGAAGGCTATGCAGTTCTTGTACAGCAGGGACCCCAGCACGTGGTGCATGAATGCTTGAAAACAGGCGGAGCCCGACTGTAATCCAAAAGGCATAACTAGGTACTCAAAGGCCCCTAGGGGTGTGAACATTGTGGTCTTCCATTCGTCCCCTTCCCTCATCCTAATCAAATTGTATGCTCCCCTGAGGTCCAGCTTGGTAAAAAATTTCCCTTGCCTCACCCGTTTTAAAATGTCATCAATCCTGGGCATCTGGAAGGTCACAGGTTCCGACACCAAATTGACGGCCCTATAGTCCACAACGAGCCTGGGTTTATTTGTGTCCTTTTTGTCCACAAAGAACACCGGACTGCCCCCCACCGCTTTCGATTCTCTTATGAAGCCTCTTTTCAGGTTCTTGTCAATAAATTCCTGCAACTCCTTCATCTCCCTGTCCGACATGGCATACAGTTTACCCACCGGCAGCTGCGCTCCTGGGAGCAAGTTGATTTGGCAGTCAAAGGGCCTATGGGGGGGTAGTCTATCCGCCTCCTTCTCGCTGAAGACCTCCTGCAGGTCAGCATATTGTGGTGGCACCTCCCCTTTCCGCTCCACAGCTATCCCAGCCACCCTGGCCACGGTCATTCTTGGGGTTTCCCCCCCTAGACAGTGTTCCAAACAGTAAGCGGACCCAAAGGTGACCGTCCTCTGATGCCACGCCACCACTGGATCATGTTGTGCTAGCCAGCTCATCCCTAATATTATTGGGGCCCTGCCAGTGAGGCTACGTGAAAGGCGATGGTCTCCGAGTGCCTGGAAACCCTCATTCTCATTGGTGGGGTCTGGTGTGTCACTTCCCCTCCCAGTAGCTCTCTGCCATCAATGGTGGTTACTTGCAAGGGAAATCTAAGGGCAGCAGGTGGAGCTGGTGCTCTAGTGCAAAGTCCTTGCTGAAGAAATTGCAGGAACTGCCTGAATCCAACAGCCCTTTCACCTTGACTGGGTGCCCATTCGGGAGTTCTAGCACCACTTCTATGGCTATAGCCGCCCTGGGGGGGGTCTGGTTGGGGCACTTCTATTGGTTGCTGGCCTGGCTGCTGTGCCCTCTGAGTGGCAGCCAAGCGTTGTCGTTTCCCGGCTCCTTTGCTTTTTCCACCTCCTCCTCACCCCCTGCAGCTCCCACCATTCCTTGCCAGGCCTTTCTTTGAGGGCAGACCCTGGCAAAATGTCCTGGCCGCTGGCAGAGGAAACACTTCTTATTAGTTTTCCAATCCTTTCCCTCCTTCTTGCGACCGTCGCTGGAATTTGAAACCTCCCGCGCGCGCCCCATCTATTTCCATTGGCTCCGCCGGCGGGGAAGGCTGCCTTGGTATTTCAGGAATGCGGTAGTCATGGTAACGTTGCTCTCTCCCTTCCCGCTTCTCCTGAGCCCGCGCTTCCTGCCTTACACCAATCGCAAGCACAGCCTTGGTCAGCTGATCCATCGACTGCAGACTGGGTGCGCGGGAAAGCTCATCCTTCACCGTTGGGGACAACCCCTCCTCGAACAACATTTGAATGGGTTCAGAGTCCAGTTCCCACCCGAGCCGGTGAACTAACATGGCAAAGCGTGACCAGTAGTCTCTAACTGACTGGTGCCCCTGTTTACAGTTCATCAGTTCCCGCCGAGTCACACTTTGCTGCACATCACTGGAGTACATTGCGTCCATCGCCTGGAAAAATTTCCTCAGGTCCTTCAAGGCGGCATTCTGCGTTGCCATTAGGGGCCTGATCCATTCCCTGGCCCCATCCTGCAGATGCCCAACAATATAAGCCACCCGCTCCCCGTCGTCTGCAAAATCATTCTGCTGCAGTTCCAAAGCGTACTCTATTTCCGTCCGGAACGCACTATAGTCCTGAGGCTTCCCTCCAAATTTGTGTACCAGTCCCGGTACCTTCCTTGCTACGGGGGTGGGTCTGACCTGTGCATTGTGAGCCCGCCTTTCGTCCAGCCACGCCGTTAGAAGAGCCACATGCTGCTCCAAATCTCGGTTCCTCTCCACCAGATTTTGCACTCCTGCTGCTCCCTCCGTGGCGCCAGCTTCTCCGGTTTTGCTCATGATGCTGCCTGCCACTGTGCACAAGCAACGTCAGGGACTGACGGATTGCTATAATGGTATGGGGTTGCTCGTGCGTAAGTTGCCGCCTCTCCTGGCTATGATGCCTTGTTAAACCTTTCTGTCTGGACAGCCCTTCTATTCGTGGCTGCCTCAGTCGCTAGCAGAATCCGTCAGTGGGCGTTTCTTAAACCTTTTCCAACATAAAAGTTGTTTGACACCCAGTCTCCTCCTACTTTCTCTGCGCGGAAGTCTTCTGCGCAGGGAGGGCGTGGGTAGCGGAGGACCAGTGCTCTCCCCGCTGGTGTCCGGTGAAGAGTCTGGGAGCCCTCTCTCCGATTCCCCTATCTGCCCCTCCTTATTCCTAGTGTTGCACTGAATTGCTTCCCCATCTGCTGAGCTGCCTCTCTCCCTGCTGGGCCCTTCTCCAGCATCATTAGAGAGCCTCCCCTCCACCTCTAGCTCCGATGTCAGTTCCCTGACACGTGAGGAGGTCCGGGAAACAAGCTAATGAAAAATAAGTAATGGAAAGATTGAGTTTTTAACTATTTTTATTTTGTATTTTTCTTTTTTCTATTTTTATTTTGTAATATCTTGAAAATCTTAATAAATATCTTATATAAAAAAAACCAGCTATCCTTTGAAATTCACTCATCTGAATTTTGCGAAGCAGTTCTCTAACCAAACAATATTTACAAAAAAAAGGATCTACTGTGGAGAAGTGTCCCTAGAAATGAAGATATTGGTGAAAATAACATATAAAATTCATTATATTAGGGGGAAATGCTTGCAAAAATGTGTACATGAGTCAAAACCAAATACACAGTTGTGTTCATTAGGATAAATTCACACCAAATGCTGATGAATTTTCACGAGGATTTTTAAAAATCACGAATTGCTGCAAAATATGAATTAAAGACTGAAAAATAAATCAATCAAACCAGAGAAGTGAAATGGACAAGTGCTTCCCCACCCGCTTGTGCTTCTTTGTTTTTTTGTTTTTAAGTGTGCCCACAAATACATGGAATACACATGCACCTGAAGGACTTGTATATTATCTATATGAATGCATTGTTTGCTGATAGAGCGCCACCAGTTTGCCTGGTGCATTCCAGCCTTGAAGGAACAGAAAGCAAATTTGGACCATCATCTGTTGATGCCTGTTCCCCTGCGCTCCTTTGGCAGGAATGGCAGGGTGTGACTTTAATAAACAAATACTGTCTATGTGGGCTTCCTTCCAGGGCCCATTGGCAAGAGCCCTCTGGACTTCTCCTAATCAACGTTACCAAGTCCTTGCTTGCTCACCCACCTCTCGCGCTGGCAACACATGAGAAGAAGAGCCCTGCAAAACCTGGAGCCTGCACTCCTTCATTCTCTTCCTGCCTCTTCCTCATCCCAGTACCCTCCTGGACAGGCCCTTCCCCTTGCCTAGACCCCTCTGCTATTCTTGGCCTGCTTCTCTTCTCAGGTCACCTTTTCCTGCCTTCCTAGTCCTGCAAGTCCAGCTCTACCATTAGGTATAGAAAGGCTGCCTGCTTCAGGTGTCTGGTTTTGGGTGTCATGAAAAGACAGGAAATTGTTGCTTTTTAATGTGTTATGGCTGTATTTTTACTTTGGGGGGTGGAGGTGCCTGTGGGATTTTCTTTCCTCAGTTGCCAAGGCTGGCACACTGCCTTTCTCCAGCACCGCTTCTTCCTCTGCCCAGAGAATTCTCTACTACTTCAGCCTCCTCTGCCTCAAACCCTAGGAACTGACCCATGTCCATCTGACATGGACTCAGAATCCTCATGACTTGAGCAAGTCAGCCAGTGGTAACCAGTCCTGCCTGCCTGGGCTCTCCATGATGCTGGAGTGGCTCAACCAATCACCAGCAGAAGCTCACCACCACCCACCAATCCCTTTTCTAACATGGATTCCATTCTTGCCTAGTCTGGTCTAATACATTCGGTTCTTGTTTCTGGGTGAGCTTGGCTGCAATGAGAGCAATCACTGGAATAGCTCAGTCCATAGAGCATGAGACTCTTAATCTCAGTGTTGTGGGTTCGAGCCCTATGTTGGGCAAAATATTCCTTCATTGCAGGGGGTTGGACTAGATGACCCTTGTGGTCCCTTCCAACTCTACAATTCTATGATTCTATGACAGCAGTGATTTCCCAATTTCAAATCCTGCTGTAGGAGAAAAAAGAATGTTGCTCTCTCATAGCGAGGGACTCCTTGCATAAACTCCTGTTCTTTGTAAACTCTTATGACATCAACTATGTAGGGCAGGAGGAGAACTTACCTTGTGATTCATTTGGAAATTATTGTGTGGGTTTCTGGGGGGGGAAATACTGTTCTTAGATAAAAATAAATGAATTGGAAAAAACACAGTTTATAAAAGAAATTAAAAAAAAATATTTAGGCATACTAAGATGACTATAATGATACAATACGATACAATCATATTTATTATCATTGTCCCATACAGAACAACGAAATTGGGGGGGGGGGAATCTACATAAGACATTCAAAACCAAGAAGCCTGCTTGTAAATAACTGAAGTTGTACCAAATGTTTGTTGCATTGCTGAGGAACTCTGCTAAAATGTTACTTTGCAACTGAAATCTCTGGACATTAAGAGGAGACAGGAATTTTAAACAAACATGGTCTTCCTCTTGTTTTAAGAATTCAGGCTGGATGTGAGTTACAAGAAATGTCATTCTTTCTCAGGACTTGGAGTCCTTTTTGAGCAGGTGTCTTCGTTCAAGGCGTTTTCCATCTTGTTATATCCTGGATAATTTCTGTGTGGGGCAAGTGAGAATTTAAAGGCTCTGGTGTGCACAGAAATCAAGTGGACCAAGTTGTTGTCTTACACTGAATTAGGGATGAAAAGTGCCCCCCTCCCCAAATTTCAAATTCCACCGTTTTCAAAATTCAAAGCTAGTGAGAATTCGTTCTGCTTAACTAGACCTCCTATAAATGTTTGATTTTTCAGGTCTGAAATTTCCTTGCTGGATGTTCAGTCCTTGCCAGAGAATCTTTGACTGTTCGGAGAATGCTCCAAATCTCTATACTCTACATGTCAATACTGTCCCCATTATTGCGAAATTTCTTTTCTTCTTGTTGGCCTTCCTTCCTCCTCTGAAATGTTGGGCCATCCTTTGCATATGCATCTCTTTTCTTGACTTAGATCATTCAGCTATTTTGTCCAAGAAATGTTTGCAAACAAAATACTAGGAAGTCAACAGGCACCTTGTTGTCTCTGTCCAGACATTTGGACAGCTCTGTCGAAGATAGACAAAGGCCTCACTTAACCAAATTCTAAGTGTAGGGTGGACAGCATCCAACTAGTCACCATGACCCAGTTAGGCACTGACCTGTGAGGAACTTAAATCTCCTGTTTTGCTAACACCAGAGGCAGACTTAGGGGAGTGCAGCTGGTTCTGTCGCACTGAGAGCGGATTCACAGGGGTGCTGCCAGGGACGCTGCAACTACAAGTTACAGTGGATGTGGGAGGTGGAGAGGCACCAAATTTTAGTGAAGCCCAGGGCACCTCTGATATCTGAGACCCCAAGACCCACCATTGCCAACTTAAGGACCACATTCACCATGCTTGACTTTTGATCTCTGCCTTACAAGGGATGGATGGCAAGGTCCAATTGGGGTTCACAGGAAGCTTCATGTAACTTCTATGTCTTGTATTTTACTGTTCCAGCATGTTTGATCAGAGATCCATTGCACAAACCACAAGTCTTTGTTATGCTCCTTGGAAGAAGGGGCCTGGTTATTTTTTAGCTATGAAATGTTGTTACTCTACCACAGTCACACCCCTCCTCTCTTTTTACCCCTTTTTGGCAACCTGCCCGGGCTCTGAGATATTCGGGGGAAGCCCTTCTCTTGCCCCACCACTCTCCCAGGCATGGAGACACAGGAGAAAGCCTTCTCCCTCGCTGCTCCCAGACAACCTTGGGACTCCCTCCCAGGGGAAGTGGGACAGGCTACCTCCTCATGGTCCCAGCAGATGAAGATCTTCATGTTCCAACAGGCTGTTAATGAAAGGGCTGGTCTTGTGTTGTTTTTACTGTAATTATCTTTATGTTGTTAATAGATATATTTATAAATAATTTTAATTCTATGAATGTTTAATTTTTTATTATAAGGGTTTCTTTTTTAGCTGTTCGTATTTTATCTGCAAGCTGCCTTGGGTCCCCGTCAGGGGAAAAGGCAAGGTATAAATAAATATATAATAATAATCCATTTTTTTGTAAATGTGTATCTCTTCTTCCAACCTGAAAGCTTGCACCCACCTTAGGAATATTAGTTGGTCCTCTTAACAAAAGGTCTGAGTTTCCACATTCTTGTTGCAATATGACTATAGATCAGTGTAGATACTAATGTGTCACTGGGGGGCAGAGGGAGATGACACAGATTTGCATATATTTCCATATGTTCTTTTCATGCATATGGACATACATCTCAAGACAATGACCATAATTTAAATAAAACTATGTCTTCCCACAGTGGAGAAGACTGTGAGCCTGTGAAGACTATTTTATTTGTTGATTGACAACCTCTAGGTTCCTGCTGGTCTCCATTCTTAGGGTCCTTGATCTTTGAGCCCTGGACTGAACAGACCTTTAAAAAGAGGAAGCCTTCAAATAATAAAGGACTATAAATTAGGACACCTTACTGTGGGTGCCAATTCAGCATGGGCACAATGGCTCTTTCAGCAAGGCAACTCTTCCTCCTAAAGGGTCTGGCAACCCAGTCTGATGAGGAATGCTTGGGTGTGTTTAGCCTGGAGGAGAGGAGACTGAGAGGCGATATTATAGCCAACTTCATATCGCTGAAGTGATGTCACATGAATGATGCAGCAAGGTTGTTTTCTCCTGTTCCGGGGAGGGGGGGTGACCCGAACCGATGGATTCCAAGGACAAGAAAGGAGCTTTTAGATTAAACTTTAGGAAGAACTTTCTGAAGGTAAGAGCTGTTTGACAATGGAACAGACTACCTTGGAAGGTGGTGGACTCTCCTTCACTGGAGGGTTTTAAGCAGAGATTGGGTCATGGTTGCTTGAGTTGAGATTCCTGCATAGCAGGGGGCTGGACTAGATGACCCTTGGGCTCCCTCTTGACTCTACAATTCTAGGATTCTAAATATAGGTGGGAGAGAATACAGTGATGAAAATGCAGCCTGAAATTCACAGAGGGAGCAATCAGGACTGACTAGCAGTGATTCCAGAATGAATATGACAGACAGGCCCTGAAATGTGTTAAGTGACCTCATAAGTCCCAGGGACTTCCACAAGAGACAAAGATGTTCGCTGAAGTGAAGGATTATGCTCATTCATGCCTCTGTGCCTTGTCAAAGGCCCCTTTACTAAAAAAAAAATTATTAAAAAAAATGTGGGTCCTTCCTTGCTTGCTTGCTTGCTTGCTTGCTTCCTTTCTTTCCAGTTCCAACAAAGTACAGTTTTTGATGGATTCCATGGACCAGTCCAAGTGCACTCCCATCTCACATGACCTTCAAATTCCTCATCACAGCCTACATTTTCTATGAAGCTCCTGGCATACTTCTCTAATTCAGGAGGGGAACCTTTTCTTTCCTCCCTGAGGACCTGCATTCTCTTGTGAACAATCCTTGAGACTTGGAGTGAGTTAAGTTTTCAATGGGATTCCCATTAATCATGGCTAAGTCCCATGGATTTCAGTGGTTGTACCTGAAAGATAACCAAGTTTGGATCCATCCCTTTGCATTTAGACTGCCAGGGAGGAACGGGGACGAACATGTGATTTTCTGCCTCCGATGCTGGAATACCTTGAGTGGCCTTGACAGACCCTTCAAGTGCCCATATTTTCCAGGGACAGCCCAGACTTACATAAGCCACCCCTGTTTCTGATTTGATAGTGGAATGTCCCACTTTTCCTTAGGATGTCTCTATTTTCATTGGAGAAATGTTGGCAGGTAGGGAGTTAGCCAACCCCAAGCCAAGGAGACAAGTAACTGTACAACCTTTAGAAGACATCTGGAGGCTGCCCTGTATAGGGAAATTGTTTAATGTTTAATGCTTTATTACGTTGGAAGCTGTCCAGAGTTGCTGGGGCAACCCAATCAGATGGGTGGGGTATAATAACAAAACTATTATTATTATTATCATCAGCATCAACATCAGCTTCATTATTATATTGAATAGGATGTCCCTGTTTCTATCAGAAAAATGTTGGAGGGTATGTCTTGAATGTTTTGCATCTTGACTTGGGCTGCGTCACCCTCTTGGGCAGCCACATGCCTGGGGAGGAGGGAGAGAGCTGTCTGGAAGTTGTTGCCCCAAACACAAGACCAGGAGGACCCAAGGAGGATTTTGCTGCTGCTGGGGTGACAAATATGTAAAATTCTAGCCTTTTAAAACTCAGGTTTGATTCAGGGCATAAATGTTTGCCCAACCAAGTTGATGCAATCAAAGGTTTGATTCAGAAGGATTGGCTACAACAGATGGGACAACGGTCTCTCAGCCGACTTCACAGGGTTGTTGGGATAATGACATAGGGAAGGGAAGACTGTCCCCTGAGCTCCTCCGAGAAAAGTGGGGGTATAAATGCAAGAATGGAATGGGATATGGATGGACACCTTCTGAAACACCCTTTTGCTACTTCCACACATCACATGTTCGCGGGGACTTTTAAACTGGACTTAATGGACACAGTTCTGTCAAAGCTGAACACTTTTACACCCCACTGAATTCAGTGGGAAAGTCAAGTGCATACTTGAACCTCTCCCCTTGAAATCAGTGGGGCTGGATGCTGTTCAATGGGTGTCCATGCAAAGCCAGACTGGAAGCTCCCCAGTCTCCTCATCTTTTCCCCACCAACACATCTCAGTTTGGAGAAAGCCTCTTTGCTCCCCTTCCCACAGCCATACCTCATTTCAAGGTTGGTGCTGTCTTCTCATTTGTTAAATGGGGATTGAGGAAGAAAGGCAGTGGCCAAACAGTGAAAACAGAAACCACCAACATTTCCCCCTGAGGCATCTGCAATGTGATCCAGAAACACCTCAGAGCTCAGTGAGGATCCAGCAGGGAAGGGTCCCAAGGGAACGGTCTTTGTCCAGTTCGCACTGAACTTTGCCCAAAGGTTTTGGTTCCCATTTTTATCTGGAGCAGGAAACTCATTCCTGGCAGTGGCCTCAATCACAGAGCGAATCAATTCCACGACCTCCCCATTGCACGTGTCAATCACTTGCAGGGCGTTTGTTCCCATCAACGCCAAAAACTATAAATGTGGATTCCAGCAGAGTGGCGTTATAATTCACAGAAGCCACGGTAGCAGCGGGGAGGCAGGGCCACATTCCCTTCTGGGCAACCTTCCAGGGGCCACATGCCAGGGATGGGAGGGGTCAGAGGGGAAAGTGGGATGGGCAATGCATATAAATTGTGCCTTTGTACAGGAGGCAAGTTTCCACAGAGACGGGCGCTGCTCTCTGTTCTCTGGGCCAGCAACTTATCAGAGTTCATGGAGACATCCCAGCCACCATAAATGTTCAAGGAGGGTGGGCAGCAGGATCAGTAGGGCATGTGGGGCTGTGCAGTAGGTGTGGCCTAGGGAAGTCCCAGAACAGAGAGGCTGTGAGGCCCACATTTGGCCTGAGTCTCCCTACCCACACAATCCTAGGAACAATGTGAGCAGACCTGCACATAACAGTGAAGGGGGTGCTGGGATTTGGGAGTGCCACGCTCTTTAACAACAAAAAGACAGCTGGATCGAGGCAGGTCGGGGCTGCTGATTCTTCTAGACCTGTCAGCAGCCTTCAACATGGTCGATCACGAACTCCTGGACCACCGCCTTGCCAACGTGGGGATCCAGGGCACAGTCCTTCAATGGCTGCGCTCGTTTCTCTCTGGTCGGGGACAGAGGGTGGCGTTTGGGGGGGAATTGTCATCGCGCCACTCCCTGGTGTGTGGAGTGCCTCAGGGTGCGAAACTCTCCCCGATGCTTTTTAACATCTTTATGCGCCCCCTCGCCCAGCTTGTTCGGAGTTTTGGGCTGGGCTGCCATCAGTATGCTGATGACACCCAATTCTATCTGTTGATGGATGGCCATCCTGACTCGGCCCCAGACACACTGACCAGATGTTTGGAAGCTGTGGCTGGATGGTTACGTGGGAGCCAGTTGAAGCTAAATCCTTCGAAGACAGAGGTCCTGTGGCTGGGACGGGACAATATGGGATTGGGGGGGCAACTCCCATCTCTTGCGGGGGCGCAATTAGTGCCAGCACTGTCCATTAAGAGTTTGGGTGTAATCTTCGACACCTCCCTTTCCATGGAGGCGCAGATTGCAGCTATAACAAAGGCGGCATTTTTCCATCTCCGCCAAGCTAAGCAGTTGGCTCCTTACCTCTCTCGCCCTGACCTAGCCACTGTGATCCACGCGACGGTCACCTCCAGACGGGATTATTGTAACTCGCTCTACATGGGGCTGCCCTTGAGACTGACCCAGAAACTCCAGCGGGTGCAGAATGCTGCAGTGAGACACCTTACGGGGTCTTCGCTGCGAGATCACATTCACCCGGTGCTATACCAGCTGCACTGGCTCCCGGTGGAGTACAGGATCAGGTTTAAGGTGCTGGTTTTAACCTTCAAAGCCCTATACGGCCTAGGACCCTCGTACCTATGGGACCGCCTCTCCTGGTATGCCCCACAGAGGAACTTATGGTCTTCAAATAAAAACATCTTGAAGGTCCCAGGCATCAGAGAAGTTAGGCTGGCCTCAACTAGAGCCAGGGCTTTTTCGGCTGTGGCTCCGATCTGGTGGAACACTCTGTCACAAGAGACCAGGGCCCTGCGGGACTTGACATCTTTCCGCAGGGCCTGCAAGACAGAGCTGTTCCACCAGGCCTTTGGCCAGGGCACAGCCTGACTCCCTCCCTCGGCAATCTTCGCGGAGCTCTGGCCCAATGGTTGCCAGCGGCTTGAATTAATTAATTTTATAATGAATGATTTTAGAGTGTTGTTTATGCTGTACTTTTGTACTGTTTTATTGTTGTTAGCCGCCCTGAGCCCGGCTTCGGCTGGGGAGGGCGGGATATAAATAAAATTTGTTAGGTAGATTTATTGCTTTATTCTTGGCGTCCGGCACGCTTCCCCTGCACTCCTCTGCAGGTCGTAAAGCAATTAGCAGAATTGCACAGCGTCCGTGTTGAAAGGGCAGTAAATTAAGTCCCACACGTTTCTTCTTTCCTAGTAGCACTTTATTTGCTCAAAAGTAGCATATTTACAATTCATAAACACCATCTGATTGTAGCTGCAGTTTTCTCTGCGTTCTACTCTCTCAGCTTGCAGCTGTGTAACAAAGCTGCTTTCACTTTTTATTTATTTTATTTATTATTATTATTATTAAAGAGGTGCCCGTACTGAGTACCCCTGGAAAAAAGCACTGGCTGGAGCATCTGCTTTGCATGCCGAAGGCCCCAGAGTCTGTCTCCGGGTTGGGGCTGGGAGAGCCCCCTCTCTGAATACCTGAGAACTGCTTCCCGTCAGAGTAGACGATCCTGAGCAAGATCTGACTCGATCTAAGGCAGCTTCCTCTGTCCCCACCTGGAGCCTAGAAGACCACAGTATAGGCATCACATAAGAATATGAGTGCATGGGAAGCAGCTGCTGGATCAGGCCAGCAGCCCATCCAGTCTGTTTTCACAGTAGCTAACCAAATGCCTGTGGGAAACCCACAAGCAAGACCCCAAAACAAGAGACCTCTCCCCTCCTGTGGTTCCCAGCAGCTAGGATGCAGAAACATTGCTGCCTTCAACTGTGGAGGGTGGCGCTGAGCCATCATGACCAGTCGTCATCAACAGCCCCCTCATCCATGCATTGGTCTCATCCTGCATTTTACCTAATGCACCAGGTAAGCATTTCAGGGGAGGGCTGTTCATAAACTGGGAGCCACCCCTGAAAAGGCCCTCCACCTAACAGCTGCCTGCATTGCTCAATGATGTAGGGAAACCTGAGGAAGCCCCCCCTCCCGAAGATCTCAAGCTCCAGGCAGCACATTTGGAGCAGGCCTCATTTCACAGTTTGGGTCTAAGCAGCTGTTCTGCACAAGGAGCGTTCACCTTTCCTGGACTTTCCTGAGTGGAGTGGAGTAAGATTCAGAGCTGGCTTCTTCGTGCTGCATCTGCTGCAGCAAAGCCTCACGCTCCGCCCCCACCCCCTTCACAAAGGCTAATACATCACAGCAAATGGGCTAATCTCTCCAGCAAAGCCTATCTCAGATGTAACCTAATCTAAAGCTCCAGCCGAAGCTTTCACAGACAGCTTGAGTCAAACCAAGAAACTGGCAATCACGGAGAGCAGAGCGGGGTGGAGCATTGGGCTGGGATGAGCAAGTGCAATAGGTGCTAACGGGCCGATGATGTGACCAGCGACAGCAATGGCACAGCAAAGGTAGCAGTGTAAGTCATTAATTGCTTTTTAATTGCAGAGGAGTGTACACCTCCCTCCCTTCCAGGTTTCTGTTGATGAAATCCCTGTTTCTATTATTCTAATAGAAAGAGAACCCGACTCCATTGCTCCAGTGCCCCGCAAACGTCTGTTTACGGGGCCTTGGTAAACGATGCACTTAACAGTGCAGAAAGCAGCACAATGAAACAAGCAAACACAAACGCTCTCCTACCTTTGGAGGCAGCTAATGATGCTCCATAATTTACTAAGGAGTAATGGAGAGAAGGATTGGTTTGCTGCAGTTCTCAGACGCTGTAGATCTAAGTCTACTCAGGTCTACTAAGGGAACTGATCCTGCTTTAAGCCACGATTGCCCACAACTTCAGGCGAGAAAACCAGCCTCACTGCCTTCTTCTCCAGTCAACGCTTCAGGTGATACATGCATGGCTCTCCAGCGCAGTCTGTCTGAAGAAGACACCCAGGAGCTTGAATCAGCGATGGCTGTAGCAACAGCACCCTCTGGTGGAGCTTTGTCCACCGGGTGGGGGATATTTTTCCTGTGGAAGTTCCCTAAGGTGTCATCCGTTTTGGGGGGTGGGGGTTATGCTAGTGGTGGGCGGAGCTAGAGCCGGCAAGGGTGGGGCAGCTCCTCTTCTCTGCCGGATTAGGGGTCAGGTTGCTGTTGCCAGAGAACTGTGTTGATCACTTGCAGAGGAGCTTCATCCCTCCCCAGTCCATATACCATACACAGGGTGAATGTTAAACTCAGGCGGGTGCTGCCTCCATATTCTTTTCTGAACATGGTGAAGACTTAGCACTTTCAACAAGCTTTCTGGGTGGAGATTTATATCCTGGGTGTTTTTGTTTTTATATACCTAATTCTTTTAATTAGTTTGTATTTACTTTTATTGCTATTTATCTTTCAAACAAATTTTTATTAATGATATATTATTGTACCTTGGAGCCAAGACTGTTATACATCAAAGAGCCTGGCTTGACAAGTATAAAGAAAACAAGTGAAAACAAAAATGGAGAAAAGAGAGAGAGGAGAAAAGAGAGAATTGAAAAGGGGGAAAGAAACACTTTCCTCCTTTACATGTCATTTTTCTTTTTCTTTTAAAAATTGTTTTAAATTATTTTTTACATGTAATTCTTTTAGTTGTTTTTATATATATTATTATTATTATTATTTGGTTGTTTTATATATACATGTGGTTTCAAATATTAAACACTTGCTGAAAAGTTTTCTATTTCACCAGGCCAACGCAGGCAGTTAAGAATACATCTTTTCAGAATAGTTAACTGATGTCTGTTTTTAACTTTTTTATATATGGTTTTTACTGCATGGTTTTACGTTGTGTTGCTATTTTATAAACCACTTTTTACATAGTTGTATTTATTTTTTATATAAATAAATCCATTAAATGAAATAAACCAGTTTTATATCTGCATTTGTTTAATACATTTTTACTGTATTGCATTTCACATAGGAAGCAATTCATGAATGAGATCAATGCATGGCAAGAGTAGCACCCTGCATAATTTGTTGCTTCGCTGTTAGGCTACCTCTTTCCCCCTATGTGCCTCTGTCCCCTTTCCTTTTTAGTTATTCACTGGTCATCTCTTTGCTAAGACACTGATTTTTTTGGTCCGCATCTCAGAAGTGAGTCCCATCAGACAGCCCAGGGTCTCAAACCAGGAAGATCCGGGTGGGCTCTTTGCTGCTTCTGACTGAAGAGTTGCATGTTTGTTTGTCAGGCTTATATTCCCTCCATGGAGCAGAAAGAGGTGTGCACGGTTCTCTCCCCGTTTTAGCCTCACTATGAGCCTGCAAGGTAGGTTAGGCTCAGAGGTGATAATCGGGATTGCCCAATGACCCTCATAGCTGCGTGGGGATTTGAACCGGGGACTCCATGGTCCTGAGCCTCTGTGCCACACAGGCCGACTCTGCTCTCTGCTCTCTGCTGTCTTGCAGTGCCACCACTGCAGGTGGCCACAGGGGGTCAGTGCAGCTACTCCTTCCGGGGGGAGGGACACGTGACAAAGAGCTGCTGACTTTGGCCCCACCTCCTTACTAAGGATGGGGAATCAGTGTTAAAAGTTTTCAAGGCAAAGGTGATTGCAACAATAGCAAATTAAATTCAGTTCAAATCTGAAAGTAACCTTTGCCATGTGCATTTTCCAAATTAATAGGGCAACTGAAACACAGTTGTCCTTTGAAATACATGCTTCTCCACATTTTGCAGTGAAGTTCTGCAGCCAAGTACTGCATATGCCAGGACAAAGGGTGCCTATTAATGGAAACTGCATCCAAGAGTATTAAAAGAACTGGCAGATGTAATCTCAGAACCACTGGCAGTCATCTTTGAGAATTCCTGGAGAACAGGCGAAGTCCCGGCAGACTGGAGGAGGGCAAATGTTGTCCCTATTTTCAAAAAGGGGAAAGAGAGGACCCAAATAATTACCGCCCAGTCAGTCTGACATCAATACCAGGGAAGATTCTGGAGCAGATCATTAAGCAAACAGTCTGTGAGCACCTAGAAAGGAATGCTGTGATCACCAATAGTCAGCGTGGATTTCTGAAAAATAAGTCATGTCAGACTAACCTGATCTCGTTTTTTGACAGAATTACAAGCCTGGTAGATGAAGGGAACGCAGTGGATGTAGCCTACCTTGATTTCAGCAAGGCATTTGACAAGGTGCCCCATGATATTCTTGTAAAGAAGCTGGTAAAATGCGGTCTTGACTATGCTACCACTCAGTGGATTTGTAACTGGCTGACTGACCGAACCCAAAGGGTGCTCATCAATGGTTCCTCTTCATCCTGGAGAAGAGTGACTAGTGGGGTGCCACAGGGTTCTGTCTTGGGCCAGGTCTTATTCAACATCTTTATCAACGACTTGAATGATGGACTCAAGGGCATCCTGATCAAATTTGCAGATGACACCAAACTGGGAGGGGTGGCTAACACCCCAGAGGACAGGATCACACTTCAAAACGACCTTGACAGATTAGAGAACTGGGCCAAAACAAACAAGATGAATTTTAACAGGGAGAAATGTAAAGTATTGCACTTGGGCAAAAAAAATGAGAGGCACAAATACAAGATGGGGGACACCTGGCTTGAGAGCAGTACATGTGAAAAGGATCTAGGAGTCTTGGTTGACCACAAACTTGACATGAGCCAACAGTGTGACGCGGCAGCTCAAAAAGCCAATGCAATTCTGGGCTGCATCAATAGGAGTATAGCATCTAGATCAAGGGAAGTAATAGTGCCACTGTATTCTGCTCTGGTCAGACCTCACCTGGAGTACTGTGTCCAGTTCTGGGCACCACAGTTCAAGAAGGACACTGACAAACTGGAACGTGTCCAGAGGAGGGCAACCAAAATGGTCAAAGGCCTGGAAACGATGCCTTATGAGGAACGGCTAAGAGAGCTGGGCATGTTTAGCCTGGAGAAGAGGAGGTTAAGGGGTGATATGATAGCCATGTTCAAATATATAAAAGGATGTCACATAGAGGAGGGAGAAAGGTTGTTTTCTGCTGCTCCAGAGAAGCGGACACGGAGCAATGGATCCAAACTACAAGAAAGAAGATTCCACCTAAACATTAGGAAGAACTTCCTGACAGTAAGAGCTGTTCGACAGTGGAATTTGCTGCCAAGGAGTGTGATGGAGTCTCCTTCTTTGGAGGTCTTTAAGCAGAGGCTTGACAACCATATGTCAGGAGTGCTCTGATGGTGTTTCCTGCTTGGCAGGGGGTTGGACTCGATGGCCCTTGTGGTCTCTTCCAACTCTATGATTCTATGATTCTATGATTTGGTGAAACAGGCTATTAAATGAATATAAAACTGCCTTGCATTGTATACTGCCTGAAAAAAATGTGTAAGGTTAGGAAAACTGTAAACCACTGATGAACTTTTTTCATGACCTCTGTAAATATATATATATATCACAACTGCTGCTGCAATGTAGACTGATTGTAAAGACAGAGGAAACTGACTCATCTCATCTCTCATCTCAGCAATGAATGTTCAGTCAAATGGCTGGGACTTCAATTCAACTGTTAACACTGAACAGCTGCTTGGAAAGGAACTAGATTTGATGAAACACCACTGAGAGAGTTTTAGACGTTGGTGGCAGAGTAAAATTATTCAATCAATGACACAAGAGCTCAACTGTACGAGGTATGATATTAAGGAAGAGACCTTCAGGCCTCATTAATTCTGTGAGAAACAGCAGAGAGACTTTCAGGTGGTTGGTAGATTTAACTTGAACCACCTAATTACTGGGCTTTGCACTCTTAGAAGATTTAAGGAGTTAAGATAAATGGTTTTTTTAAAAATATATTGACAAGAATCTTAAACACAGGAAAAATAAAAAGAAAAGAAAGAGAAAGAAAAAGTTAAACTACAATCAAACAATACAAATTAATCAAAATCAAAAATAATGAACAAAACACGTGAATAGAGCACAATCAAAAAATAAGCTACAGAACTAGAAATAAGTCCAATGATCAACCTTAATCCACAATACCTCTTCTCATTAATCTCCTCACTTCCTTTTTGTAACCTAGTTATGAACATTTACAAAAACTTTTCCATTTTTCATAATATTCATTATTAATACCTTAAATCTATTTGAACTTATCTAATATAAGAAACTAAAATTTTAAACTACATCTATTTATACCAATTTTCAAAGGAACTAAAATATTTCAAAGAATTTTTTAATAGTTTTGTTGTGGCTAAATAATTTCTGCCTAATATTTTTGTATATCTATCAATTTTATAAAGCAACTAATAAAAAAAATTTCTTCCACCAACCATGCCTTTCCCTTCCTCCTGAACTGGTTTTATTTTGTCCCTTTCTGTCTCATCCATTTAGCTCATTAACCTGGTAATCTTATGTCCGAGGCCCTTAAGTCTCTTCCATGTCCCTTCCGCAGCTCTTCTTCATATTTATACCTGTACTTTACTTTGTCTCCTGCTCCTTTCACTCGTGGGAACTCCAGCTTGACAGTGTTTCTGACCCTTCTCGACAAATCAGCCCCTTTTCCATAGTCCACACTAAACTCCATGTGGTATTTAAGAACATGTTTCAAAGTCCCTCCAGAATTAAGAGCCCCCACAACCCCAAACATCTCGCGGCCCATTGCCAGACTTGGAAAGTCAAAACATCCCTGCATAGGGGGGGTCTATCCAGCCCCCCATTTCCAAACCAAACAAAACTCTATCTCTCCAAATCTGGCTTTTTCCAAGTTCATTTATCAAATCCAACAACTCATGTTCCTGCTGGGCCACAACTCCCTCCATCTCTGGCACCCAAGGTTCAGCAACATCTTCTTCCCTCATCTGATCTGTCAGAGCACACTCCTGATTTGATTCCTGGGTGGGCTCTATATAGTTACCCACTACCTGTCCAAAATTTCCAATCACAACAGTCATCAAGTCCGTCTTCTCATGTAGCTGTTCCAATAGGGCACTTGTTTTGCAGAAAGCACGCACCAGAGCTTCTGAATACATTGTTCTGCAAGGTCAGAAGTCTGTTCCCACGATCATAATCTGTTGCAGCTGCAGAGCTCCCCAATTCAAATTTAGTAACAGTTTCACAGGCTCCCTCTAGGCGAAGAACTTCTATTTGTTCTTTTCTTTTAAAGGCAGATCTAACAACAAAGTTTCCTTTTTCAGATATTTTGTCAATATTTGTTCCTTTAAAATGCGAAGGAGAACAATGGAATCACTATGTTTCTCTTCTTTTAACTATCTGTCAAAGACGTTTGTCTAAGGCCAATGAGCTTCCCAAAAAGTCAGACCTGACACCCGGCTCCCAGGTTCAAGACGGTGGAAAATTACTTTTCTTTACACTCTCTTCTAGTTTTTTGCAGATAAAGTAACTCAGATTTGGAAAGTAGTAGACTCCACTGTGGGAGAAGGGCTGGGGCAGGAGAGTGCTGGAGTCCTGTCTAGTCAAATTGCATGAAATCAATTCCAATCTGTTACCTCCGAGGATGTGAACAGACTGCTTGGACAAGTGAAACCAACCACCTGTTTCCTTGATCCCTGCCCATACTGACTAATAAAAGCGAGCTGGGAAGGGCTGGGCAATGGGCTCTGTTGGGTGGAGAACGCTTCCCTCTGTGAGGGAGCCTTCCCAAGCCCACTGAAAGAGGCAGTCATTAAACCGCTTCTTAAAAAACCATATGGCCAACTATCGCCCTGTCTCAAATCTTCCATTCTTGGGCAAGGTGATTGAGCGAGTGGTTGCTGAACAACTCCAGCGACGCCTGGAGGATGTGGACCATGTGGATCCCTTCCAATCAGGATTCAGACCTCATCATGGGACTGAAACTGCCTTGGTCGTGCTGGTTGATGATGTCAACCAGCTAGGGACAAAGGTGAGAGCTGTTTCCTAGTTCTGCTGGATCTCTCAGCGGCCTTTAATACAATCGACCATAACATCCTTCTGGACCGTCTAGAGGGGCTGGGAGCTGGGGGCACTGTTATACGGTGGTTCCACTACTTCCTCCTGGGCCATGTCCAGAAAGTGGTGTTGGGGGATGAGTGTTCAGACCCCTGGGCTCTCACTAGTGGGGTGCCTCAGGGTTCTGTCCTCTCCCCCATGCTTTTCAACATCTACATGCAGCCGCTGGGAGAGATCATCAGGGGGTTTGGGCTGGGTGTTCATCAATATGTGAATGATACCCAGCTCTACTTCTCTTTTAAATCAGAACCAGTGAAGGCGGTGAAGGTCCTGTGTGAGTATCTGGAGGTGGTTGGAGGATGGATGGCAGCTAACAGATTGAGGTTGAATCTTGAAAAGACAGAAGTACTGTTTTTGGGGGACAGGGGGCAGGTGGGTGTGGGGGGACTCCCTAGTCCTGAATGGGGTAACTGTGCCCGTGAAGGACCAGGTGTGCAGCCTGGGAGTCATTTTGGACTCACAGTTGTCCATGGAGGTGCAAGTTAATTCTGTGTCCAGGGCAGCTGTCTACCAGCTCCATCTGGTACATAGGCTGAGACCCTCCCTGCCCATAGACTGTCTTTGCCAGAGTGGTGAATGCTCTGGTTATCTTCTGCTTGGACTACTGCAAGGTGTTCTATGTGGGGCTACCTTTGAAGGTGACCCAGAATCTACAACTAATCCAGAATGCGGCTGCTAGACTGGTGACTGGGAGTGGTTGTTGAGACTACATAACACCGGTCTTGAAAGACCTACGTTGGCTCCCAGTACGTTTCCGAGCACAATTCAAAGTGTTGGTGCTGACCTTTAAAGTGCTAAACAGCCTTGGGCCAGTATACCTGAAGGAGCGTCTCCACCCCCATCGTTCTGCCCAGACACTGAGGTCCAGCTCCGAGGGCCTTCTGGCAGTTCCCTCACTGTCTGAAGTGAGGTTACAGGGAACCAGTCAGAGGGCCTTCTCGGTAGTGGCTCCCACCCTGTGGAATGCCCTCACACCAGACGTCAAGGAAATAAACAACTATCTGACTAAAAAATAATAATCTGAAGGCAGGCCTGTTTAGGGAAGTTTTTAATGTTTGATCTGCTATGGTGTTTTTAATATTCTATTGGGAGCTGCCCAGAGTGGCTGGGGAAACCCAGTCAGATGGGTAGAGTACAAATAATAAATTATTATTATTATCATCACCATCATCATCATTATCTGACCATTGGCCCATCCAGCTCAGCTCTGTCAATACTGGTCAGCCACAGCTCTCCAAGATTTGAGGCACGAGTCTTGCTCAGGCCTGCCTGAGATAGGGATGGTTTTGATGGACAAACAGGCCTGGGATATGAAGCAGTCTAAGCAGAGCTTGGCCCAAGCTCAGTGACAGCCCTCTGGGCAGCAAATTGAGCCAAAGATGTCATCAGAACCAAAACATGGTTTACATGCATGTGTGCATCTATTTATTTATTTACAGCATTTTTTCCTTGCCCTTTAGTAATGAAAAAAGGCTCTCAGAAAAGCAGTTCTATGAAGGTACCTGCTCTTAAGATGGTAATCTAAAATTACGCAGCACACAGCGAAAAAGAAATAGGAGGGAGAAAGGGAAAGCAGGCTCACTTTCTCCAAGTTGCAGCCAGAGGCTGTCTAGCCCTCGATAGGGAAGCAGTCCTTTCCCGGAAGCTTTCT